GGCATTCTCTCCCAACTGGAGGAGTGGAAGTTGGAACATGTCAAACGGGAAGACAATCACCATGCAGACGCCCTGTCCAAGCTGGCAACCGCGATGGACTTTGAGGGCGACCGGCAGATCACTGTCACTAAGGAAGCCCGCCCGAGTTGCGGCGTCATGGCCATCGAAGAAGGGGAGGGAGACTGGCGTCTCCCCATAATAGAATACTTGCAGCAAGACACACTCCCAAGCGAGGAGTCCCGAGCGAAACAAGTCAAACGGAAAGCGGCCCATTATGGCATGATTGATGGGCAGCTACACAGGAGGTCGTTCTCGGGAGCGTACCTCAAGTGTCTGGGTCCCACCGAAGCGGAATGGATCATCAAGGAAATTCATCAAGGCATGTGCGCCTCCCACGCGGGTCCCTGAAGTCTGGAAAAAACAATCCTACTGCAGGGGTACTACTGGCCCACCGTGAAAAAGGACGCCGAAAAGGTGGTCCGCAAATGCCATGAGTGCCAAACTCACGCCAACAAGCAGCATTTACCCAGCGCAGAGCTAAGGAGCATAACAGGCCCGTGGCCGTTTGCACAATGGGGTCTCGACTTGCTAGGCCCTTTTCCAACAGCCTCCTTGGGAAAGAAATACCTGGTGGTGGCGGTCGACTACTTCACAAAGTGGATAGAAGCTGAACCGCTCGACACGATCACCAGTGCCAAAATCCAGAAATTTCTCTTCAACAACATAATGATCAGGTTTGGAACTCCCAACACAATCATCACTGACCATGGGACGCAATTCGACTGCAGGCCATTCGAGAATTTCTGTGCCCGGAACCGCATTACGTGCAAGATGGCCTCGGTCGCATTCCCGCAAGCCAATGGGCAGGTGGAGTCGTCCAACAAGCTAATCCTCTGGGGGCTAAAGAGGCGACTCAAGGAGGCTAAAGGAGGGTGGACCGCCGAGTTACCACACGTGCTCTGGGCGCATCGCACGAATTACAAGCGGGCAACCGGAGAAACTCCATTCGCCCTGACGTATGGCTCCGAGGCAGTTGCCCCCACTGAGGTCATGCTGCCCTCGCTCAGGGTCCAGGCTTACGACCCAGAACAAAACCACAGGAAACTCCTTCACGAGCTCGACCTGGTGGAAGCAAGAAGGGATGCGGCCCTAGCCCGAACCGTGCAAGAAAAGCTCAAGGTAGCCAAACCCTACAACGAGAAGGTCAAGCCGCGCCCGCTGGAAGAAGGAGACATGGTGCTTAAAAGGAACTTCGAGCAGAAGGAAGGGCATGGTAAGCTGGCCGCTATCTGGGAAGGACCGTTCCTTGTCGCCGAGAAGATCGGAACCGCAACATACATGTTAGCCACCATGGAGGGGCAGCCGCTCTCCAAGACCTGGAACTCCATCCATCTGAAGAAGTATTTCAGCGAATGAAGGAAGACGGTAGTAGGAATTTTGCAAGGGGCTGGCGCTACTAGATGTAGCGCTTTTGTACAAGCTTAGCAGCTCAACGCTCCTTATTTTCAACTTTAATACTGCAAGTCGCCACCAGAGCGATATAGTTATGTGTAATCATTTCAAACTGTTCTCATCCCTCTTAGCTTTTTAACATGACTTCAAATCGCCCCCGAGCCTTAGTCATAACGATGCGCTTAGCATGGTTTCTAATCACCCGCGAACTGTGGTCATAACTTTGCACAACTCAACATCACTTCCAAACGCCCCGAGCTTCAGTCATGATGTTACACTCAACATGGCTCCTAATCGCCCCTGACCCGAGGTCATAACCTTGCACAAACTTAGCATGGCTTTTGACCGCCCCCGAGCTATAGCCGTAGCTGTGCGTATCTTATTTGGCTCGCCGCTAAAGTGTGCCGAGCATAAGAGTCATATCCCAAGCGCCCCTGACCAGCATGCAGTCAAAAGAAGACATCTATGGAATCTGCCAAACGCATGGCAAAAACCGCGAAACTACACTAGCAAAAAGCTTTGCTGAAATCCCTAAGGAGGAAACAAAACGAAATGCCGAAGGAAAAATATTACATAAACCTCGCCCGCAGGCGGAATGTATCAAGTGCCCCCGAAGGGAAAGGAAAAGAAAAGCAATGTTCACGAAATTAAGCTGGAGACTTAGTGGCGTCATCATCGAGAGAGGCGGGCTGGTTCACTTCTTCTCCGCCAGTGGCCGCCGCGGCCTGGGATTGAGGCACTTCTTCGGAGTTCACATCGCTATCCCTCCAAAACTCCACTGCGTCCCAAACCGCGTTCCGATCCCAGACCACGTAGGGATGCTCTCGGCGGAACAGGTGCCGGATGGAGGCTACAGTATCCCGCAGCAGCTTTTGGTACTTAGCCTCATCGGTCACCTTAAATTCATCACTCATAGAAATTGGCCACTGCACTCTCTCTGGCCTCGGCGAGGTCCACCTCCCGCTGCACCTCCAGTTGAGTCATGTTGGACTCCAGCTCCTTCCCCCTATCTTGCAGCTGCTTCTCCCGCGCGGCAGCCTCCTGTGCCTCTTTCTTCGCCTGCTCCAACTCTGACGCTGCCTTGGCCAGCTCCTCCTGCGCGGTTCGTATCTCGACATCCTTGCCTGCGAAACCGCCTCCTGCTCCTTCAAGATCTCATCCCGCAGCTCTCGGCGGAAGCCCTCGCGTCGCTCTTTCAACTGTTCTTCGAGCGACAAGATGCGGGTCTCGCGGTCACCCAGGTCATCTAAGAGGCGCTCGTTCGTCAATATGAGCTGGCTGATACCAAATTGAGCCTGGATTCACAAGCTCGTGTCAACACTAAGTCAATAACAAGCAGAAACTAAAACGAAGTAAAAATGCACGCACCGCGAAGAAGCACCGAGCGGTCGTCCCGGCGAGATGGCGAGTGTCAGAGGTTGTGGCTATGGCGCCCGTGACTCGCACATATTCGCTCGGCACCGCAAAGCCCTCAGCGATGGCATGAAGCGCACGGCGCGCCGGCTCGGCGGACAAAGTTGCATGCGGGGAATACCGCGCACTGGAAGACAACTCCGTTGTCTTCTGCTTCTTCTGGCTGACGGGCGGGTCAACCTGGATGCCTTTCAGTTTCTGCTGGTCCCTCGCGACCTCCTTGTCCGGCACAACCACGACATCCAAGGGACGCTTGCTCCCACTCTTCGCTACGCCCGGATTGGTGGGGATGGTCAGCTTGAGAACTTCGGACCGCCCCATCGCCAGATGCGATTGAGTGGAGCCGCCCGCAGCTCTCGGCCCTTCCGAGACGGTGGGAGCCGAAGGAACCGCCGATTGAGAGCCGCTAGCGGTGGTCTTGGGCGGTCTGGCAGACGAGGCGTACCTCCGAATTCCTGGAACATAGATACATAAGTAAAGACATGAGAAAACAACATCCCACAAAGCAAGTAGAAACTAACTAACCGTGGAAGCGCTGCACAATGTCAAGAGCATTGTCATGCCAGTGTGGAGGCAACCAAAATTGGACGGTTGATGTGACGCGGTTCACATGCGGCTTAAGGTGGTGTAGTTCTTTGACGCCCTCGTCCCAATCGTCCGTGCGCCCGAACGAGAAGGCGGTCAGCGGCTCTGCGTCCCCCGAGTACCATTTACCAGAGGGGCGAGCGAAGAAGTATTCGCTGTACCAAGGAGAATCTAGCTTAGGGGATCCATACACGAACCCCACGTTTTTCGACCGCCTTCGAGGAGACCAACAGTTTTTCGACCCGGTCATTGCATACAGCAGCTGGAAAGCGTCAATCGACGGTTCCTCCTGTAAGCGGTCACAGGCCGCACGATAACAGATAGAATGAAAGATGACGGATGGCGAGAGGCGGCTCAAGGAGCAGTTGAGATGCAGAAGGATCTCGGTAAGAAGTGGGTCTAGCGGGAACTCCAAACCCAGGCGCACATGTTCTGTAAAGATTGTAATCCAGCCCACCGGGCACGAACCGCATCGCCCTTCGGGAGAGGGGGCCGCGTACTCCCAATCTGTCGGCAGCCGGTGTCTGTGAAGCTAGCGAAGCACCTGCGCAGGCGAATACGCGGGTTTGTAGCGCGGCCCATAGTCATAAACAGCGCTAGGGATTTCTCCCCCCTCCCACATGTCCGAGTGCAGGCGCACACGGTATACGCAGTCAGCAACCGCCTGGAAGGGGTGGACTATTGGCGTCTCTGACAGTGCCAAAGAGAGCGAGTCCGCCACGGAATCCTCCCCAGCTGACTCAGGGGATGCATCCTTCGGTGCACTTTCCGACGACAGCTCCACGAGGTTGTCGCCAACTCGGGAGGTCGCCCCACGCCCAACCTCCGACGTGGCCGTATCGATTAGGACACTCGCTCCTAGCCCTAAAATACAACCATCAGGCCTATCTAAACGCTCTCCCGCACCAACTGCGTCATCAAACCCGCACAACAGTTCAATACCCTCCGAGTCCCATTCTATGCCAGATAAGCTAAAAGGGTGAGAAAAGTCACGCATACCTGCTCCAGTAGCAGGACCGCCTACGCTGACGGTTTTAGAGCCCGGGCGCGCGACGCCCGCGTTGCTTTTTGGAGACGAAATGTCACCGGAAGCGGTAGTCGCCGTCGTGCCGGAGGGAGTGGCTGTGGCCTGGTCGGAAGCGGATAGCGGAACCACATCGCCGGAAAGATCGCGGTTCTGGCTGTCGGAAGGGGTAGTGGATTGCGAACCTTTCGCCATCAGAAACTTCTTCTTCTTCTTAGATTGTTTCTGCTTTCGCCTGAGTGAAGTAAGAAATTGACGTCGCTCCGCCGAGAGAGAAGGGTGATTCTCCAAGTAACGAGAAAGGGAGAATCGAGAGCACCGAGCAATTTTGAAAAACGAAGGAAGTAAGCAAATGATGAAAGTGACTCGGAAAGAGTTGGTTGGAGGTATATATATGACAGGTGAGGGAAGCGATGTGACGATTAAGTGCCCGAGGCAGAGCTCTGTCTCACAAATTCAAAAAGACGGGCAGGTGAAAGGACATTCGCCCTGCCCGCTGTCAGAGCACGGAAATCGGTACGTGCCACGTGTGCGGCGCGTCCTCAATTGGAAGACTTACTGAACGGTCGTCTCTAGCTTAGGCGATACAACCCTAGACCTCCGGCGCCTAGGGGCAGAGTAAGGAGGAAAGGGGCGCGAACCGCTCAACTAGCCGGAACGCATTAGTAGCCTAAGGGGCAATTGTTGGGCCGCGTAGTTGAGCGTACATGGGCTTTGGGCCCGATAGAGTCCCGTTGGCAAACAGGCCTAATAAGAGGGCTCAGCCTAGTCAGAAGGGCCGAGTCCACGGGCGGTTCTTGACCAGCCCGAGGCCCGAGAAGTAGCTGAGAGACGCCCGACGCAGTGCCCGACGTTGTGCTACTTCGTCTCTTATACCAAGGGTGCGTCTAGGAACACCAAGAAGGCGATTGTGAAATTCGAGTATGGGACCTTAACACATCACATGCCCGAAATCCAGCCCTTTACCAACTAGGCTATCTTACCATCGGCAAGCTCGACTCATTAACAACCTTATGCCTAACATGTCAAAATGGTATCGTTTTCCTTTCAGGAATGGTTCGTGGGTTCTCTCCAATACCCACAGGCCACAAGCGCAATTTGGGCTCCCCATGAAAAGAAGCATGCTAGGTACTCTTAAAAGCTAAAATCTCAATCTGGATGGGCTTGCAGCCCATTTCTATGATACAGCAATTGTTTTTATATTTATCTATTTATTTCATCCAATTTTATCGAGAAGCGCGCAACAAATACTTCCCATTTTTCTGTGCAAGGCTGAGCACTGTCAGAACTCGGGAGAGCAGGTGCCCCCAAATCCTTCATCTCCTCCAATCGCCACCGTCTCCAAATCCCTAAAATGAACGTCGCCAAAACGCCGTTCAACGGCTACTCCGTCAAATTCAGCCCATTCTACGAGGACCGCCTCGCCGTCGCCACCGCCCAGAACTTCGGCATCATCGGCAACGGCCGCGTCCACGTCTTCTCCCTTCCCCCAACCCCTACCGGAGCCCTCACGGAGATCGTCGCCTTCGACACGGCCGACGGCGTGTACGACCTCGCCTGGTCCGAATCCCACGACTCCCTCCTCATCGCCGCCGTCGCCGACGGCTCCGTCAAGCTCTTCGACACCAACCTCCCCCCGCCGCAGAATCCGCTCCGGTCCTTCCAGGAGCACACGCGCGAGGTCCACGGCGTGGACTACAACCCCACGCGCCGCGACTCCTTCGTCACCGCCTCGTGGGACGACACCGTCAAGCTCTGGTCGCTCGACCGCCCCGCCAGCATCCGCACCTTCAAGGAGCACGCCTACTGCGTCTACTCCGTGGCGTGGAACCCGAGGCACGCCGACGTCTTCGCCTCCGCCTCCGGCGACTGCACGGTGAGGGTTTGGGATGTGCGGGAGCCTGGTTCGACGATGATAATCCCCGGCCATGAGGCTGAGATTCTGTACTGTGATTGGAACAAGTATGATGAGGGCTTGATTGCCACTTCCTCGGTGGACAAGAGCGTTAGGGTTTGGGATGTGAGGAATTACAGGGTGCCCGTTGCGTCGTTGAATGGGCATGGATTCGCGGTGAGGAAGGTGAAATTCTCGCCTCACCATCGCAATTTGATGATGTCCTGCTCCTACGACATGACAGTGTGTATGTGGGATTTCATGGTGGAGGATTCGCTGGTGGGGAGGTACGATCACCACTCTGAATTTGCTATTGGGGTGGACTTCAATGTGCTTGTTGAAGGTCTGGTTGCGAGTACCGGATGGGACCAGATGGTTTTCGTCTGGCAGCATGGAACTGAGCCTAGAGGGCCTTGAAAACTTTGGGGGGTTAGTGTTCTTGGTCTCTGTTGTAGTAATATTTTCCCTTGTTGTTCTGTGGTTTGCACCATTGATGCCAAAGTTACTGAAATTGCAATAGCTCGAGGTGTTCGAATATGATACTTGTTCGGGATGGAGTTTAAGTAAGCATCTCTCGTTTTCCATTGCAGCAGCATGAATGGAACTAGTTCAGGATTGAGTTTGGCTGTGTCTCTCTTGGTTGATTGATTACCTCTTTGACTGATCCCCCTTGTATATCACTTTTCCAGTTGTGTGAATGGCAATAAGATCTCATTCATCTGTCGAAACTTTCTGTTTATTCCCAGTTTTGGGTTCATTGAGTTATGGAAGTTGCATAGCTGATTGATCATCCGAACCTGCTTGATACTACTTCTGTTTAGAAATGAAAACAGACACCCTTTGCTGCTGCACTTGGAAGTATGATGCATAAATGTTGTCCTTTTGAATTGAATTCGTGCTCTGTGCCTGCAATTGTGTCCCAATATGTTTGCATACTGTTACTTTACCGCCGCCCAGTTGCTGAGTTTACCTATCTGTATCTTGACAAGATTGCACTTAGGATTATAATCTATCTGTGGTTCTCATACTCAGTTGGCTGAAATGATCACAGAATGTGAAATCGGCTGCACCGAGTTGCTGTAACCCTTACATTGGACTGATCCTTGGGCCCAGATCTATGGCTGGAACTTGGGCCCAGCTCACAATAAAGGCTACGATCTGGAGCTGGGCTTGAAGACTAGTAGTTGATTCTATAACCAAGGCCCATGGAGGAACAACCTAGGCTTCTACTAAATATAATGAGAGTACTTATAGTAAGACCAAAATGTCAGTTTCAGCTAGCTAGTAGTGAAGTTGATAGATCGGTTGCACGTTGGTTTCAGTCACGTGTTGGTGTTAGTGCAATGAGCCAAAGGGCAAGGAATCACAGAAGGAGAGATAGATACACAGATAATGACTTAATTGTATTGCCGAGGACTGAAGGGGCCCCTGCAGGAAAACGATACCATAGACGTCCTTAATTGATGATGGCGAGAGACTGAGAGTAGCATGTTATACTGAAACAAAAAATGATGGAAACTATGACGAACAATGTGGCAAAGAAAACAAATAAGGGTAAAAATGAAAACTGCTCTGCCAAATATGTCGATGTCGATGCATACCTAGCAACATGCCTCGTGACACGTCGATGGTGATACGATGGGGATGACGAATGTTCTTGTCGGATGTCGTCTTGCCCGTCAACCCAAGTGTCTGACAAAATAATCGGCTCTACTGCTCGCCACATTTTCGCACTGAAGGAAGCCACAAAACCAAGCAACGATCAAGAAGAAGGATGCTACAAGATTGATGAGACCTGGAAATTTTATTTGTCACGAAAAACAGAAACACGTACCGCGAACGACAACATGACAATCGAAATGCCCGGCAAATAGAATCACCCCTCCACAGTACCATCATCGAAACGAAAATGTTGATATGACTTGAATCGGATTATCAGCCGCTACGACTGGTAATCGGGGGTCTCGCTGCCCGGTCAGCGAGTGGGGTCCAGGGGCAACGCCCCCGGCCCACGGTGTATGGGCTCAATGTTATTTGGGTTCGGGTTCTGGGCCTGGTCTGTAACCGTTTCCTTTGCCAGATTAGATTAGGTTTAGACCCACATGGAGAAGTACTATAAATACTTCTCATACTCCTCTGTAATCTGTAATCTCCTTGATATAGTGAAACTGGCTCTCTCTCGCCCGTGGACGTAGCTAACACACATCGTGTTAGTGAACCACGTAAATCGTGTGTCGTGTTTTCGATTCTCGCTTTCGTAATCTTACTTTGTCGATTCCTGCTATTTCCCGATCCGTAGCAGTGCGTTTATAATAGAAAAAATAAATCGGAGATGTTCCGAATAGCATTTAGCGAAATCAAGATATTCCGAACATCTAAAATAAATCTGTTCCAAACAAAACCTTCAAAATCATTAAAAAAAAAACAGACCGAAACCTATATTTGTACCAAACAGAAACGGGCTTCAACTACTCCAACTAAAAACTCTTCAATCTCCATCACCAATTCACCACAGTACCAATAAACACGTAGACCCCAACATCAATTCCCACACAGAAAGTACAGTAGTGAAGGTAACTCCACTGAGCAAGTGTGCTTTTGGTAGGTTGGATTTAAAAATAGGACAAAAGAGAATGCCACTTTGGTTTTCTCCTTCTGTCTTTGTGTAAATTTGAAGATCCGGCCCGGCATTTCCCCTCAAAGCCTAAAAAAGGGAAGGAAAAAAGAGATCGGACGGCAGGAAATAGTCAACTGCCGTCTCCCAGAAGGTAGAAACTAAAACTCATTGGAAAATTCAATGTCTCATGATGGTTCCTGAAGAATTAAATAGGTCAGAAAGAGATTGGGAGAGGAATAATATGGCAGGCAGTCAAAATTGGAAATTGGCAGACCGGAAGATCAAAAGAGACCATCTTTCTTTCCTTTTTCTTTTTTCCTTTACTGAGGAACGACGAAGAAGACGAAGAAGAAGATAACAAAGGTATGGACGGGGGAAGAGGGTGTGGGGGCCGCCCACGAGCTGCCTCTGCCTTGCCTCCTCAGTTAAGCAAGTAACATGGGCAATGGATGATGAAAGTAAAATGAACCACCGCAATTGAAGGGGAAGAAAGGGTTTTTTTCTCAAGGACTAAACGACATGGGAACGCCCAAAATACGGCAATCAATCCAATCTAATCTAATCTTCCTCGGCTAAATTACACGGTTGGTCACTCAGATCCCAATGAAAGGATGCTTGGAGGAAGAGGACGGTTTAGAGAAAAGAAAATAAGTTCTCAAGACAGAAATTAGAGACGAATTTGTTTTATCGTTGATAATATTGCGGCCGATTCCCTAAAAAAATCCCTCAAAAGAGATTATTGCGGCCGAACATCATGAAAAAAAGGGGGGAAAACAAGTAATCTCCGTTCGGTGAGATTCTACAGAACAAGAAATCGAGGGAAGTGTATTTTGGCTATTTGCCGATTCTTTCACTGGAACGAAAACGAATATCTTTGGAAAGTCGGTGGGTGGGTGGGGGGGGGGGTGGTTAGGACGATTAGCGGTCAAGTTAGTCTGAGTTGAGTTAAATTTGAGTGGTTCGATTTTGTGTCAGCCAACTCAGCACTCTTGTTTGTCACATCGTCAAAAAAAAAAAAACTTTATTAACGGGTCTCAAGGTAAGGAACGATGGATAACTATCAGTGAGTTGATACTAACGACTAGGAAGAAAGAAGAAAAAAAAAAAACGGATGACCAAGCATTTAATTTACCAAATCTTCCTGATACCACTTTCCCCTAGTGGAGTTTGGTGTAATTAGAGGGCAAAAGATGAGATCTGCAGTCCCCTTACCATTTGCTTTTTTCTCTCCCAATTAAAACATGAAACACAAGACTACTACTTCTAAGTGACTAATAATGCTGATTGGTAGTAGGGATATACATTATTGTCCCTTTCCAACTGAAACCAATGTGGTATATGATGCTAACATGTAACAGTCCACATTAAAGTTTGCATCCAAATCAATTTTGCACCGGTCACTTGGCCTATTGGAGTTGTTGGTTCCAAAACAAAAACCATGTCCAAATCAATTTGCTACAATGACTTAGTTTGAGAGATTATGGGCAATATTATTTATTATAACACCTCATCTACATGATTAATTGATAAAATATAATTCTACCGTTTTGTTTTCCAAATCGAATCCACTTTACCAGAAATTCTAACTACAGGAAGGGGCGATGTAATGTAGTATGAACATATCATAGTACATTACCATCTACTACCACCAAAGTAGAATGAGTTACTATGGCAGTATGAAGTGATATGGTGTGGTATAATCATTATATCACGTTGCATTAGTACCTCTACAACGAAGGCAGAATGAGTTACTACGATGGTATCGGATGATGTATTGTGGTATGATCATATCATGGTATATTACTATCTCCTAGGACCACGACACAATGAGTTACTATGGTGGTATGTGGTGGTATAGCGTGGTATGGTTATGTCACAATATTTTACCAACTCGTAAAGTCATGGTGGCGCACGCATACACATACACAAACACACATATATGTACACACACATACTCGAGTTGTGGCTTGTTGATCAATGATGCTTTGACCGGACTGTACCTGTAGATGGATGATTTTTTATTATTATTAGAGATTCTGAACCTTTTTCATAGTATTAGAGATTTTCTTGAGAGAGGAGCGTAAGTTGTAGAATTTGAACCCTAGCCTGTTGATACACGATGTTGCGAATGGACTCTAGCATGTTGATGGACGATTCTTCGATTCAAGTTCTTAGATGTTGTTTCAAGATTCGTAGTAGTTTGAGATAGAAGATGGAAGGTAGAGAATTTCGAGTTAAAGCAGAGGAAATTGTGTTTTTTTTTCGCTGGAAGGTAGAGAGCGATAAGGAAAGACACAATGAATTACTGATATTATCTGCATCTATACAATGAAATACTAGCTGTGGGCCCCCGGCCTTTGGCCGGAATAATATTTTTGATTTTTTTCAATTTTTTTACTTTTTCCTATATGATTGATATTAGGGGTGGGCACGTGGGTGCTTAATTCGCGGATTGATATCAATTCACCCGCAAATAACCCGACTTGCAAGCCGTGGATGATTGATATGGGTGAATTGCAGATTGATATATCTCCCATCCACACTTATGTGGGTGGGTGGTGGGTGAATTGCGGGTCGCCCGTATTTTCACATGAAAAATGTTGTTTCATATATAGTATCGAATATTAATAATATTTTTGAACCGCACGCACTACAGTATGACCATATACTTCAAAATGTGGAGAATAAAGATTAGTTTTGACTACTATTATTGGTTATTATGTTGTGCAATATCCATTGGATATTGGATATTGGGGCAAATTATTGTTAATATCAGTCAAATATTGGAATGCAAACTATAAATTAGTAATTATATGAAAATCATAAAATGCGTAAGTTTTTTCTAAATAATTGGTTGATAGAGTAGAAGGTTTTGATGCAAATACTACATGGATTCACTTGAGACAAAGTGATAAATGTCTAAATTGATACCATCTTACTAATTTGCTATGAACTTATTATAAATGTTAGTCAATTTTCCTTATGGCTATTTGGAGAATTGCTTTTGCGGGGTGACCTGCGATCCAACCGCATTCATTCGCTACCCATCCAACCCAACCCGCAGAAGAATGTGGGTGGATTACGGGTCACAATTATTCCAACTCGCTAATAAACGGGTGGCTCAATTTGAGACAAAATCTACCCAACCCGCCCATTACCCACCCCTAATTGATATGTTCTTTATAAATTTATTACGTAAATTAATGCAAAATTTTAATAACTAATCAGGAGGTGGCTCTATTACTGAAGTAGAGAAAGGCTAGGTGGACAAAGAGACGAAGTTAAATGTGTGTTTCCATTGAAGATGTGGTTGGATTTTCGACAGATTGAGAGAGTTAAAAATAAATCGTTCAATTCGTACGTATAAAAAGATTTTTATTCGAAAAAAGATCATTATTCAAGAACGCGAAAGCGTCTAGCGTATAAGAATTCAATATCAAGAGAGTAATAAAGCCTCATTATTATATAATTTTTAACTAAAATATATCTATAATGTAATTAGTCCAACAAATATTGTAAAAATGTCGGAACAAAAATCCAAAAAATATGGTATAATACAATTTATATAGACAGGAGTGATTATAAAAATATGAGACTCTCTTATAGTTTTAATTTTGTTAATAGTAATTATGTTAAAATATTCCATAACCAATTTATTTTTCTCTTTCATTTTTCTTTATTTTAATTTTTTTCATTAACTTCTTTTCTTTCTCTTTTATTTTTCCCTTATGTATCATCACTCCTTCACCCACCAGAACACCATCATCACAAAATCTGAACTTCCCTCTCTCTCTCCAATTTCTCTGACGCAGAGCTAGAGCTATATTGTTTTCCCATCTCATTTTCTTTCCTAGCGGTCGATCTAGTGGATCTACCCATTTACCCACTGGTCACCTTCAAGACCTCACCACAAAAGCTGAATTTTTCTCACTCTATTTCTTCCTCTAGTTTCTCTTTTTTATCCGAAGCAGAGTAAGAGCTCTATTTTCTCATTTTCTTCTCTTGCGACCAATCTTGTATGTTTCTTTTTTGATGATCGATTTCTGCATGCAACCTCCCAATGAACCTTAGATCTCTAAATGAACAATAATTCGTTGTAGGATAAAGAAACGATTGGGTCGGCTAGAGTCAATTCACCGCCGGAATTTCAGAGGCGATCTCCAGCCTTAGCTTCGAGAGCATGGGTTGAGTGGCAACAGGGAGCTTTGCGTGCTTGGTCTATTGCTCTGAAACAGGGTTTCCAATGACAGCAGTTAGGGTTTCAGAATTATGTTAGGTGTTTGCAAGGATGATGAGGGCTCGCTGACGACAACTTGGCAAGGATGGCAGGGGCTGTGATTAGCAAGGAGGGAGCGGAGAACAAAATTCAAGGGAGGGAGATTGGAAGAGAGAAACCAAAGAAGAGGCTCGCTAGGGAAAGGAGTTGGGAATGACGAAAAATTGGAAGACACAGGCATGAGGCCGAGGAGAAGGAACAAGGAAGGAGTTGGAATGACGAAAAACTCCTTCCGAGGAGTACGGGCTGTTGAGCAGCGGCTGAGGTGGCAATTTTTTTTGGTTGACATTCCCTTATATTTATGTGTAGATATGAACCACACCATATAAGTATCAATATATATCCTGTTCACGGAATTGGATTGGGTCAGGGGTGTGTCGTTTTATTCATTGGATCATGGAACATGCATTTCCTGACAACCGACATAGATGCTTCAAATTATGTTCAATCTGTCTAATGGCTATACCATTTTCTTTTGTATATGAAGTGGGTGGAATTTTATGCCAATTACAAAAGGAGAATATAATAATTAGAATATATATTTATTTGATTGGAAAAGAGTAGTAGGTAGGCAATCCATCAAGTAATACAATAAAATTTCATTAATATAATGTGTACTAGGTTCATTTCCCCCCCATAGTGTACTAGGTTCATTACGAATAAAAGAAGGAATATACAACCTACAGATTACAACAACATAATAACGATAGCTCTATTAATCCTATGTTTTACCCTTAAGAAAAAAGCTAAGGGGTCGTTTGGATTGAGTATTTGACAAACTTGTTGTTTGGGGTCAATTACCACACAAATACCACATAATATAAAACCTGTTATTTGGTATGTGATATTTGATCTCAAACTTGTTATTTGGCAAATACCTGCCCCCTCTCAAGTATTTGGCAAACAACACTTTTTGTGTTATTTGGTCTCAAACCTGTTATTTGGCAAAACACTTACATCCAAATAACGCATCCCACATTTTGTCAGCCAAACATGTTATTTGGGGTCAAATAACACAAAATCTATTATTTGACCCCAAATAACACCCCTAATACTCAATCCAAACGACCCCTAAGTTCGCACGTGACCACTGATTAATCGTCACTTGGTACACGTACGTGAAAACCCAAATATTCCACACTAAAAATTGCATTTCCAACATGATAACTATATCATTATCTCCGCAAATCAAAATCGACGAACAGATGAAACACGAGTATGAAACAATATGCGAACCACCACAATATTAATTATTCAGTACAATTTACCATAATTCTATACTATATCTAAGGGTGTGCAATGGTCCGGTCCGTACCGGACCAAACCGTTGTTAAGACCGGACCGGAGCAGATCGAGTAAAATGCAGTCCGGTCCTTGGTCCTCATGAATTTTATAATTACTGAAGAAATGGTGGACCGAGCTCATATTTGGACCGGATCGAACCGGACCAAATGCAAGAATGGTTCGGTCCTTGGTCCTAACATGTCTTTCACTAATGGACCGCGGTTCTCATGAGTTTGGTCCGGTCCGGACCGAACCGAACCGTTGCACACCCCTAACTATATCATCGTAAAGCAAGTTACATTCTCGAAGCTAGGGCTAGTGTCCATTTGCATACACCATTACTTTGGCTTTAACTTGAAACGTAGAAAAGATAAAAAAAGGGAAAGATGGCATGCCTTGGAAGGTGAATAAAATTGGAGGGAAAGTGGGAGAAATTGAAGAAGAAGAAGAGAATGATTAACACAGAAAAAAGAAAGAAAAATGGCGCCCTTGCGATGTGGGGAAGGTCAGGGAAAGTTTTTAGGGTCTTTTCTTCTTCTATGGCTTCTCTCTCTGTTCTTCGAACTTGCCATCACGTTGTTGTGTGATTAAAAACGAAAAAGTGGACGGCGGTCCATCCTTCTTCCAGCCGTCGCCGTCCCCAACTCGCCGGGACCCCAAAACAATTCCTTTTTCAACAACCGTCCTAATCATATTGTATAATGATGATGATTATAATTTATAATGCCCTCTCCAACCGTCTGTCTGTCCCTCCCCAACTAACCCTAGGTCCTCACTCAATGTGTACGAGCCAAAAGTAACCATACTAATCCTTGGGGTGTGCCTATTATGATCGATGCATGTTTGCATCGACGGAGTTAGGTCGAAGTTAGCAGGTATATAACTAGGGTTGTTCGTTTGAATTTGAATATTTTTCCGGTTTTAATTGAAATTAAATCGGTAAGAAGTTTAATGATTCGGTTATTGAAATTTAAATCATTTAACATCGTGAATATCATCTATATATATATATATATATTTTGTATTTTGTGTATTTATGAAACTCGCTCTATGCAAATACAACTAAGTTAAAAAGACTAAACGATGGGAAAAGCCGAAAGAAAATGACCCATATAATCATTAGCTATGAACCTAATGCATAGTGTCCTGCCTTTAGTTTGAATATTCTAGCTTAAAAAAAGTGTTTAGAAAGCATAAGTAATAATAATCAACTCAACCGTAAACAGGATCATTGACATAATTGATTCATGCAAAAACGTTAACCCCATTAATTATGATGTTTATCAAATTTGCTATCACTTCCATCTAGGGGTGGGAATAGGTCGGTAAACGGTAAACCGTTTACCGAATTTATCGGTTTCGGTATATCGAGGGTGGCCAAATTGTTTACCGTTTACCGATATCGGTTTGTAACCGGTTTACCGATTACCGAATTACCGGTAAACGGTTTACCGAATTACCGCAAAGGACGAAGTGGGGCGGTTTTTAGGGCCAGGTCGCCGATTGGGAAGGGAGACCAAGTCGCCGATTGGAGGGGAGGGAGGGTGAGGGTTTCAGGGCCAGGTCGCCGTCGGCGGGAAAACGGGAAGGTGGCGGCGGGGAAGCGGGGCCGTCGGCGGGGAAGCGGAAAGGTGGCGGAGCCGCGGAGGATTGGGAAGTGCTGCTCGCGTCGCGGCGTCGGCGAGGGAAGGGCGTCGGCGAGGGAAGGGAAGCGGGGGAGGGATTCAGGAATCAGGGCCGTTGTCGTCGTCAGCAGAAGGAGCGGCGTCCGGCGAAGAGGAGAAGTGGCTACGCGCAGGGCTGCTCTCTCTGCCTATGCGATTTCGAAACGAAGAAGGAAGGGTGGCGGCGGGTCGCTGCTGCAGTGCTGGGCGGGTATTTTTTAGAACTAGGGTTGAAATCTTTGCCAAATAAAACGACGTCGTTTTGGGGTTCGGTATCGGTATTACCGATTTACCGTCGGTATTTACCGATACCGGATTCGGTATACCGACTCACCCAATTCGCCGCTCGGCCGCCGATACCGCTGGTAAACGGTTCGGTAAAACGGTAAACCGTTTACCGGCCTACCGAATCCCACCCCTTTCCATCGATTGTGAGTACGAATCTCTCATCCTTTAAGAAAGTGAAAATATTGTTTGCTAGACTATTTAAGGAAGTTAATATCAACTTTTTCAGTAGTGAATTGCCACTTAAATATTTATAAAACACATTGGATTGTGAATTTGTGATAATCAAGTTTCATGATTTTTGAATTTTTTTTAATGTTTTATTGAATTACATATTTAAACAAACTAATTATAATCCTTTTTTACTACATCACTACAACTCAATGTTTTGTGTGTGTTTACAATCTACACATAATATAATACGCCGAAGGGAAAAACGGGAGCTCCATTTCAAATTTCCTGCAACGAGAGTGAAAGTAGGAAGGACATTTTGGTCTTCACAATTACTTTTTTTATTCATTAAAAAGACACGTACTGGGATTCGAGCCATGACCATTTTAAAGAAAAGCAAGGATAATAACCAATCACACTAAGCACATTTGTTGTATCTTTTTAAATTAAAAACATATAATAGCAGGGAGGAAAAAACCCTTCCCCCATTTCAAATTCCCTGCTCCATGAGTGTTTGTAGGAAGGGTAGAATAGGAAGTGTCAATTTTTTTCTCTTTCCTCTGTGGAACGGGCCAACTTACCGTACACATGCGAATTTAAACGGGTCCAGGAGTGTCAATTTTTTTTCTTTAAACCCTTTTATTTCTCCGTGGTGATAAAATATATATGAAAAGGAAAAACTAATACTCCTTTTTATTGTTAAAAATAAAAAATTTAACAATAAACTAATGCATGGTATCTAATGGGCTAACCGCTAACCATAAAATAAAAGAGTTGAATGGGCCTGACCTACATGGGATTTGGCCATCAAGTAAAACAAATGAACATCATTGGTTTGTCATTCTAAAACAAGCTATTTTCTATTATGCTATTATTTTATATCTTAGTGGCTAAAATATAATGTATTTTAAAGTTATTCAATGGTTCAACCTCGACCAACACAATTAGTCCAATTTTTATCATTTCAAATATATATTTTATAATTATTTGATATCATAATGATCAAATTATAGTGTATTTTATAGGGAATCGTTTGGTATTTGTTAGTAAAAAACTAAACATAACGATCTATTTGGTTATTTTAAACATTATAACGATCCTAAACATTTTCAGTTCCTTTTGAATTTCCATGGTTTTAATCTCGATTAAGTGATGTGCAAATGGCGAATTGTAGTCGTCTCTTTTCTTTCACTATTTTTTTTATTTTCAAATAGAAAGTTTAAAAGTAAAGAATAATTAGAATTTGGCATGGGTCGATCGAACAGGCTGAATTTCAAGTTTTGGCCCGTTTGTTTTATGCATTGCAAATTTATTAGCATGTTGATGGAAATGGCTTGGAAAAAAGACATATAAGTTGTACCTTTGCAGAAATGTCCTCGAATGTTTGAATGCTTTGTGAATCAGGTTCCGTGACTTTTGTGATGGTGTATGTGCTTGACGATTGCTCTTTTGATTTTCCCTATGAGTTGTGATACCAGTTCTGGTGGTTGCAGCATGTAGTCGTTGTTGGCCTGTAAAAGTTGTTCCACCGTGGTGCTAAATACCTTTCTTTCTTTTTTAAAAAATTGTGTGGTAGTGCTATGAAACAGACCACCCATGAATGTTACGCTTATTATGGTCTGTTCTTACTTCTGGTGGTGAGAAATTGTGAGTTGAGAATCATATTCGCCTACCGCACTGTGTCTGGCTGGTGGCTGCTTACTGTGCTCTCTAGAGTTATGAAACAGACTACCCATGAACGTTACCCTTAAGAGTCCATAACTTTGCGAAAAACCAAATTTAGGCAATCAAAGGTGCTGGATGTATGATATTTTTTATGGCTTAATTGTTTGTGAATTGGATATATGATATTTGTATGATTAGAGGGGATGTTTGCTTAATAGAATAATCCATTTTAATTCATGTTTATTTTTAACATGAACTTTAGTAACTCAAAACCTTCGAGACACATATCACCTACTACATTGTATCATTTTGCCTGGGTGCTTGCTGTGTTGTCAAACTTCTTTGCCGCTGCTGCTGCTTTTACACTAACAGGGGAGTTAAGAACCCATGAATGTTTCCGTTTGACACAAACAGGAGGACTTGCTTCTAAATCGTGCAGTTGATATACTGGAGACCAGAACAAAAGCAATGTATAACATCAAAACCAACCATCTGAACTATTAGCATTGTTGCTTTACTCTTTTTTCGTGGTTAGGTCTCCTTCAAAAAATTTAGTTTGATTTTAGAAAATTTTGCTTCTGCGGTCCTATCTTGCCACCAACGCGTTCAGTAGATGGAGATGGCAGAGGCGAAGGCTATTTTTGTGTTGTTGTTGCTGGTTTAGGGATCGGTTTGTGAAGAAGAGGGAGAAGAGAGGGGGAAAGGGAAATGCAGGAGAGGGGTTTAACTCTTTTCTCTGACAAAAATGGAGTGAAGAAAGGAATTATGATCAGCAAGGATATGGTTACCTTACATAACTGTCTCTATTCTGTTGGAATTGAGCTTGAGAGGCAGTGATAAGGACGAGCTGCAACCAATTCATAGTGAGAAGAGAGCTATGAACTGTGATCATGTCCTATTTCAAGTTAGAAGGTAGTTTTGAGTATAAGGATTATTTAATTTGACAAGTTGTTTCGTCCATGATTCTTGGTAGTTTCAGTGCCATTCTAGCCATTGTTTAGTCTGTAATTTTTGAGAATTGATTTGCGAGTAATGACTTTCACTTAGCTTCACTATTATGCGTGTATTTATTGGCATGTGATAGAATTCTCTTTTCCTTTCTTTGAATTCAGTTTCATACTCTAATTGTATCATTTGTACATAGGCAAATCATGCTCGAGATGACAACTCGCCGATATGGCTGGTGCAAGGAACGAAGCCATCATTAGAATTCAGACCGACAACGGGGAGGGATGCCCAGGACTAATTCAATGATGATTGATGATGGTATAATAAAAACTGCAGTCTGCATCAGCACCAATTTCTAGGCCTAAGTAAAGTTATTCAACAAGAACTCTGCTTAGCGCTAAAAATTCCCCTCACCCAACCTTGATCCTGTTCGACCCACTTATGAAGATTCAAGATATATGACTAATCCTCTCCGTTCGTATTTTCTTATTGACTCTTTCTGACCCTTTAGGTTGGGGCGGGTCGGGAAGAATCAGATTAGTGGGTCGGTCCTAAGCAAGTGGAATCCCAATTCCTTCTACTCTCACTTGCTTTTTCTCCTATTCCACAAGTGGGTAACATACACTAATCCGGCCAACGGGCCGGGTAATAGGCTAGTGTATAATAATTGTCAAAGAGAAAATAGCCAAATACTACAGACGGGCGATATATTTATGGTATTTTCTTTTTTACTTTGAGGAATAATATTACACAATTTTTATTTATTATCTTTGACTTGGAGTGTATTGATAATATTGTTTGCTTCATCTCTTTTATATTGATATTGTCTTTGACTTCATGTGTCAAGAGATATCACATGCTTATATTATGGGGAGTCAACTTATAGATAAGAAGATTCACAAAATAAAACACATTTAGGACGTCATTGTCGCATTCTTTTAAAATCTTATCCATTTTTCGACCAAAAGAAGAAAATAGTTTCCGTTTAGCACCAAAATGTCTAACTATGCGACTAAGGAGGTTTCACTCTTGTAATAAGTTTCCCTTAGAAACAAATTATGTTTAGTTTTCTTTTTTGAGTAATTTGTGATTGTATCATAAATAATATACTAAATTACTCTTATTTATCCGACATGATATAATTCCGATCATAGTGATACAATATGTCTTATCATAGTGGTAGGATTTTGTGATAGAACTAAAAAAGATGATAAAACACAACATGACTGATAGAATAAACTCTTAAGGAGGATGAAAACTTGATGCATAGTTGTCATAAAAAAAAACTACGGAATATAAACAAAAATTTGGTGATAAATCAATATTTTTAGTGATAATATTTACAAAAAATTAGGAATCAAAGGCACCTGAGATAACAACAAATCGCTTATTAATTCGTTATTATATATCCTCCTCGAGGACAGCCAAGAGGAGCAGAAAGAGAATTTGACAGGAAAGTTGTTTAATCTTCCCGCCGGACAGTTTTGTCAACGATTAGAAATTAATTATCGAAAATCCGCCCACTAATTGGGACATTCAATTCCCTCATTAATTCGCAGAATAAAAGGAGGAGACTAATTAAATTCTCTACCAAAAAAGTGGCCGCGCGCAAAATTTGAGCCAAAGGCGCAGCAAAAGCGGCAATCACTGCTACAGAGCTAAATTGCCATCCGCTTCGCCCCACTCGGCTCTCCAATCTTCCATTTTCCCCCCTCCTTTTTTTTTTCTCTCACGCTTTTCGTCGAACACTTTCCTTTCATTGCTTCAATCCCTTCCCCCAATCCTCGCCGTCTCTGTGTGAACAAAAACATCATACCTCCCCACTCCATCATCATCGCCGCACTCTTCACTCGACTCAATCCGTTCAGTCTCGGTAAGTTCTTTGTCGATCTTTCCTTTGTTGGTTGGTCTCGATGATAATGGCCATGGAAAATTCAACTCGCCCCCGGGCGAATTGAATGCAATTGACGACGTGATTGACTGGGCAGTGGGGACTCTGCCGCTAGCCTTGCAGACGTTCCCCGCAGTCTTGAATTGAGTTCCCATGTCGGCCGGTCGGTCGCCCATTGGAGTCTTTTTATCCCCCGGTCCAAGGGTTTTAAGTGGGAATTAGTGATTGGGGAAAAGTTGTATTATTTCTTTCTGAAAGTTTAGTTGCAGGAAGGAAGGATCTTATCGTTCTCCAGATCCCTATGCTACTCGATCTTTTGTAGTTTCTTCCGTCTTCTTGTGCCACCATTAATGCTCTTTGTTTTCTTTCAGACGAAAATATCCACGTCCTGTTTTCCTTGTTCACCAGTCATTAATCCTTTCCCTTTCTCTTGAGTTCATGACCCAATTGCCTAAAATTGTTTTATCTCAGTGTTTCCTTCCCCTGTTTTGGTTCTTAACCCTGATTTACTTGTCTTGCAATTCTTTCCAGTTGGTGTTCTCAATTGGGAATTTGGGATAGCTGTTTGAGGAATTCAAGGAGTGTTCTTGAGCCGAGATTGTGCTGTTCGTGATGGCGGAAAGGAAGTTGAACTTCAACGCTCCTCTTCTATCCGTGAGGCGATTCTCTTCCCCTGTAAGAGGTTCAGAAGCTAGGGGAGACGTGAAAGCCGAAGATTCCAAGCTTGACAGGCGCTACTCCCTTCCTGCACAGAACACAGACTCCAGTTTGGAGCAAGTTACGGAGCCCGTCGCAGTTCCGTTCAATTGGGAACAAATCCCCGGCAGGAGAAAGGACGGTGGCGGCCACGGCGTAGCTGAGCCACGTGTCCGTGAAGCAAATTATGCTTCTCCGAGGTTTCCTATCAAATGGGTTCCCGGTATTGTGAAGAATCACGAGGACAAGAAACTTAAAGTTCATACCCCTGCAACTGTAACTACCCAGTTGAAATCCAGTTCATTAGACCACAAAGTGACTGGGGCGACGGAGACCACCTCAAAAGGAGCTAATGGGAATGCAGATAACGATGATGAGAATGAAGATGACAGGTACTCCGATGCACTCGAGTCCTTATCTGCTGCAGATTCCTGTTCCATGAAATGCAGCGTAAGCGGGCTTAGCAGCTCCGATTGGCCGGTTGTTAAGCCATCGGGGACTTTCTCAACGGACCCACAAACCCGAGATTTCATGATGAGTCGGTTCTTGCCTGCTGCCAAGGCAATGGCTTTGGAGCAACCTCAGTATGCCACGAAGAAGCAACCTGCGCCAGCGGTTGAGCAACCGAGGCAGATTGTCATAAAGCAAGTTCGTAGGGATAAATCACCCACTGTTACCCGTTACGAATCTGCTCTTGTTCCATATTACCCAAAGGATGTAGAAGAGCCGGAAGAAGGTGAAGAGGAATGCGATGAATATGATCAAGAGTCTGTGAATATAACAAGTAAAGCTTGTGGCTTTTTCCCTCGCTTATGCTTTAAGAATTCAGTCTGCCTCTTGAATCCTGTTCCTGGGATGAAAGTTAAAAGCTTGCCTTCCTTCTCTTGCTCCACTGGAAAACCCAAGAAGCCAAGTAGTAAAGCACCTAGTCGTTCTAGCAGCCCAAGTTCCAAAAAGGTAAACAAATTGAACTCTTTAAACTTCATCTGCTGTTTTCTTTCTTTAATGTTAAAAACTCTTACGCTTTCGATTATGTTCTTTCGCAGGCTTCTAAGGAGAATTCTCGTGAACTGAAGCAACGAAGTGGAACTCAATCGCCTAGGTTCAGTGGTTCCGAGAGTTTCAATTATGCAAGCGACAAGCAAATGACTGGAAGGATATCTCCGTTTAGTCGACGTTCGGGGCCTTTATCCCCTTACCGCAGTGCTCCACAGTCACCCTTCCGAGGAACTGGGCCTCGTGGACTATCCAAAGAAGCTGAAATGTTCAAGTCCAGCAAGCCTTATTTGTACTGCAAAGGTGGTAGCAAGTCACAGGAACTGACGCCGGTTCATCTCATTAAGCAAGGTAATAACAACCATCTGAAGACACTGTATATGGATACTGTAAATTCGGCTAAAGCATCGCGTCCAAGTTCTGGAAAGGAGCTCGTGCTAGTTCCAAAAAGCAGGGAATTTGGGAAACTTGGAAGAACAGAATCTTCTTTGAAGGCTGCTGCCAAACTCAATTCTCCACTGGACCAGTTATGTGCAGATTCTAAGGCGTTGGTGTGTGTAAGTGGAAATGATTCAGGAACTGATCCACTGCCTCCACTTCTGCCTAAAACGCCATCGGAGTCGTGGCTTTGGCGCACTCTGCCTGGGGTCTCGTCCAGAAGTCCTTTCGGTCGTGCTACTAGCTCCCAGAGCAAGTGGATTGATTCCAAGACGACGAGTAGCAAGTGGGAGACAATGGTGAAATCATCTAATGTGCATCACGATCAGGTCCGCTATTCTGAGGTAGTTCACATTACTCCTACTCCTTCATTCATGTTGTGCCTCATTTTCTGAAAGCAAAGAACTTGCATTTTGACTTGGCTTTTCATTCTACTGGCAGGAATTGAAACCATATCCCTCCCAGCATTTGAAAAGCTAGAGAGATGCTGATGAAGTTGCTCCCTGAATCTTCTTACACAGACATCCATGGTCAAAACCTATTCGAGCCCATTTTTTTTTTGGCGTAAATAGAGTTTTGTAATTGCAGAGGAGATGACTACTCTGTTCTTGATTCCTCCAACGATTGGTTCGAGACATATCATCCGGTATGGTCGCATGTTAAGTGAGTTTTTGTGTAAAACCCTGCAGCCACCTCGACTCTGTGCCATATGCACTCATAGAAGGCGGAGGCAACTAATATAGTATACGAGTGCAGCACCTTGTAGATTGATTGATGCCCTGTAGATTCATTCATTCGATGTATCACTCGAAAAAAAGCAGCATCCGTTCATCAGGACCTGAAATTGAGAACAAATTAGTACAGCACTGTTGAGATACACAGCTTTCTAATGAATTTGACATTGTTTTTGCCAGTTTGTGCTGTCTGTATGAACCAAAATCACTCTATGTAAGACCAGGAGTACTTAGAAAGATGTGAGTAGCCGGCTGTTTGGTCAGATTTTTCAGTACTCCGCAACGACTACTAAAGATCTGATCGATGAAACTGGAAGGTCAAATAGCAACTATATTCTTTGGGCCAACATATTTGGTGCTTACAGGATGAAACGGGAAAGTTGTTCCATTATTCAAAATGAACTAAGATGTGTAATGGATGAGCTAGAGATATCATGATGGCTAGGGGTACAGAAAGGTCGAAGCGCAGCTTGATTATATTGCTCCAATGTATTTTTTAGAGTTTAGAGGACCAACAACATTAGTATACATCATTTATACCTAGATCCATGCATATTTTCCCCATCGATATTGGTTCGCCGTATCATCATGTTCATGTATGTAGCAAGGCAATTGTTTAGCCTAGTATCTGACCCATAAAAAGCTTGTTGTCATGTTTGGTACGTATAATATTTGCTTCACTGGTCTTGATGTTCTACTCTGATCTATGTACGAACATTGTTGAAAGAGCTGTGTCTCCAATAAATTATATTATGATACTTTGCATTCATTTTTATAAAAAAAAGTTCCATTTTTTATGGCATTGTGCAATTGTGTATTTGTTATAATTAGTATGAGTGGGAAAAAATCCCAAAGTACACACGTTCTTAAAAAAAATTTCCAAAATACATGAGTTATAAAAAAATTTCCCAAAGTACACATGTTTGAGCATCACCGTTTTAGACAAACGCGGTGAAGTATTCACCATTTCAAACCAAAACGGTGAAGTTTTCACCGCGTTAATTAACAACAGTGAACACATCACCGTTTTGGTCAAAAACGGTGAAGCCTTCACCGTTGTTAACTAACGCGGTGATCATTTCCCACGTTTCCCACCCCTGGTAGGTCAAAATTAGGTCGCAGCTACCACCTATTCACCGTCTGAGACAAACGCGGTGATAGTGTTCACCGTTTTTGACAAAAACGGTGAATAGTAGGCAGATTTTCCTATAAATAGCACACCACCAGCAGTTGTAAAAACATAACCACTCCCCTTTCTTCAAATTTCAGCAGCCAAAATCGAGCATAATACACAGAACAGAAATTTTTCGGTATGTTGAGACTTTTCGTATTATGGTCTAATTATGTTTTTAGTAGTTATAGTATGATTTAATTTTCGTATTATGTTGTTGTTAGTTAGTTGAACTTATGTTCGTTAGTTATAGTATGATTTAATTTTCGTATTATGTTGTTGTTAGTTAGTTGAACTTATGTTCGTTAGTTATAGTATGATTTAATTTTCGTATTATGTTGTTGTTAGTTAGTTGAATTTATTTTCGTTAGTTATGGTATGATTTAATATTAGTTGTACAATATGATTTTGGTTAATTTTACTGTCTTTAAGCTAATAGATACTTATTGTAAATTGTAGATATGGGTAAATTCAAGAAGTTTCATCTTACTATTCGGTGGAATGGAAGGGTGACAAACTCTGACATAGGCATTGATTATGAGGACGGCGAATCCATTATGCTGAAAATTGAATCCCGATTCAATTTTCAAGAACTCTATGATCTTTGTGCAGAAAGGGTTTGTACGAGCGGACAGACGAGACTTGGCAAAATTACTTACCGGTATCCAGACATGAGTGCTGGCGGGGTCGTGTTCCAAGAAGTTGTCATAAACGATGATGACGCGGTTATGATGATGTTACAGTTCCTAAGCGATAACCAAGTCCGGCTTGCAGAGGTGTATGTTGAGACCGAGGCGCTCGGTGAATCTCATTCTCACCAGTATTCTTATGATGATGGTTTTGCAGGAGGGTACGAATGGGGTGGTAGTTCGAGCAACTACCAAGGCGGTGGTTATACAGGAGGTTACGGGGAGGGTGGTGGTTCAATCAACTACGGTGGATCGAGTAGTGCAGGATGGGACCAATACTCGCAACCTCCTAAACCAGCCCCATTTGTTGAGGCCGATGGTGTTCAATGGCCTGCTTGGGGGCCAGAGTGGTATGGAATCGAGAATACCATTCGATCAGGGGGTACTTCACATGAGCGAGAGGACGATGTTGGTGATCGTGGTCATGTTGATCCTTCTAGCTCGAGCTATCCATTCGAGTCAAGCGACGAGGATACTGAGGAAGATTTGATATCAGTGAGCGAGGAGGAGGAAGATACTGATGATAACGAGGATGAGGCGGCATTTCGTGAGGCACCCACGCCATATTACACACAGGTTCCAACTCAATTTTTACATAGTCAGAAGGATCCCCCCGACTTTGTCCCTATGCCAGTGTACAATCCGACGGCCAATCTGGAGGTGGGTATGGCGTTCACATCGAAAGACGCTGTGCAGGATGCATTTACAGAAGAGGCGTTGAGGCGCAATTTCGAGTGGAAGGTAAAATATTCTGACAGTAAACAATTACATGTCATATGCAAGCATGATGCAGAGGGTTGTACATGGCAACTGCGGGCTGCAAATATGAAGAGAAAGGGTGCTTGGGTGATTCGCAAAGCTGAGACGATCCACACATGCTCCTCTTCTATACTTTCCCAAGATCACAGGCAACTAAAAGCAAAGAAGGTTGGGAGAACTATTAAGCACCTTATAGAAGGATCGACATTCTTACACGATAAGGTACAAAAAAGCATGGCATGGTAAGCAGAAAGCCATGGCTGAGGTGTATGATGATTGGGAGGATTCGTATGCTTTACTCCCTAGACTTATGGGAGCAATGGAGGAGTCCAATCCTGGGACTGTTTTCGTCCCAGTATACAACAATGTATACACTGAGGATCAAGTTCGAGTACAGGATAAGCTGATGTTCCATCGTCTTTTTTGGGCTTTTAAACCATGCATTGACGGTTTTGGGTTCTGCATACCGGTTATTCAGGTATTTTACCAACTAGTTCCGGTTTTAAATGTTGTATTATTTGCTGTTAAGTATATTTCATACTAATTATATCCTAAATTTTTATTCAGGTTGACGGAACTTTCCTTACTGGGAAGTACAGAGGATGTCTTCTAATTGCCACTGGCGTTGATGGAAACAGGCGGATTTTCCCGCTTGCATTTGCATTAGTGGAAGGGGAGAACAGTTTAAGTTGGGCTTGGTTCTTTGACCAACTGCACGAACACGTGACACAGCGGGAAGATATTACGATTATATCCGATCGACATGCGGGGATAAGGAATGCTGTTGGTGGTTTTCCCGACGAGTGGGGGTGGAGATGGAGATGGTGTATTCGGCACTGGCTCGCCAATTTCCAACACAAATTTGGGAAGAAGAAAGACATCAAAAATCTACTTTGGAATGCAGGTACTCATGTTTTTCTTATGCGATTTAAGTTTGTGTTTATTAAGCTGATAAGCTGATGTTATTCATCATGTATTGACCAGTTAGTCTTTTGTTCACCTTTTAGCGGTTGCACATCAACCAAAAAAGTACGAGCAGATCATGAAAACGATCCGTCAGACCCACCGAGCTGGAGCAGTATGGGCTGAAGGTCAAGAGTTGCCCATGTGGACGTTCCATATGGACAACGGGGCTAGATGGGGCATTGCAACTACCAACCATGGAGTAAGTATAAATAATGTGTACAAGGGTCTTCGAGCGATGCCTATTTCTGTCATCTGAAACATCGAACTTTGTTGCTGATGTTGGAATTGAGAGAACCCATGAGAGAAAGTGTCCCATTCCTGAGATCCTCCACGACTCGATGAGCCTCCACCGGCATCCGCTGTAGGTGCCCACTGGTACTCGAACGGTTCGGGGAGCTCGGTTTCTTGAGTGGTACGCACCTCTTCGAACGTAGGCAAAGGCCTGCGTTTGCTCCTTCGTGGGGGCTCAACCGGGGGCATAATGGCTGCATCATCACGGAATGAGGGTCGTGCCGGGGCAGGAACGGGAGGATAGGCCACGACATCCCTCCTTTGCTCTCTGGTGCAACTTAGGAGGTTATTCATAAGTCGGGTCAACCAAGTAGTCTTCCGCTCATCCATGGTTGGAGCACTTTCGAGAGTGTACTTCGCGTGTTCCAAACCATCAACCTAAGGAAAGCACAAAATATATCAAATTAACTAAACATTAAAATAAATATATTTAAGAATGAGGGAGATTAGGATGACTTACCACCGAACCCATCACAGCACCTTGCTTTGACACCCATCTCAGGGTGAACTTCCGATACCACTGCATGTACCCATCGTGGTAGCCCATCGGTCTCGTCTCCGGCATCCCTTGCACCACCCATTGGGATCGATTCTCCCAGATGTTGATGTAGAATCCATGCTTTAGCGTCCAGTTTGCATTGTTTCGGAGGTCCATAGCATGTAGCTCCCTGAAACCTGCTGGCGGGTCTTGTGGAATTGGTTGCTCCATTCGATACTGCCTCAGGGATCGATCGGGTAGGTGCCATTCCACAATGTGCCAACAGATCAATGGCACCTTGCACAACCACGTCTCGTGATCTAGAGGGTGCCTAAGATGATGCAGCTCAACCACTTCACGTGGATATGGATCCCATATAACCTAAAATCACAAAAATTAGGAATTAACGACCATTTACTTTGATAAAATTGATCTTGTTCAAATATGGACAAAACATGATTACCTGATTCCACCATGGTTTATCTAACTCAGAACGATAAAACAGTAACGAATGCTCAGGCTGATGGTCATTCGTATTTGCTCCTATCCACCTTGTAAGTAAAAGTACGGAATCAATTTAAATTCAATTTAAATCTAGTTAAGCATGTAATAAAAATTAAATTGGGCTAAGTACGGAAGTGCAGACAATTTAAATCTAGCTGAAGCATGTAATCAAAAGTTAAATTGGGCTAAGTACGGAATAAATTCAATTTAAATCTAGCTCAAGCATGTAATAAAAAGTTAAATTGGGCTAAGTACGGAATAAATTCAATTTAAATCTAGCTCAAGCATGTAATAAAATTTAAATTGGGCTAAGTACGGAATAAATTCAATTTAAATCTAGCTCAAGCATGTAATAAAATTTAAATTGGGCTAAGTACGGAATAAATTCAATTTAAATCTAGCTCAAGCATGTAATAAAATTTAAATTGGGCTAAGTACGGAATAAACTTACTTGACACCGTAGGGGAGATTTTGCAGAAGGTTGAGCTCATCATCGTTTCTCCGGTATGGACGTGGGTCGAGAGGTGCGAACATTGGAAGATGCTCCCATACCCACAGTTGAACGATGAACATCGCAGCACCAGCTTGCTTTGCCCCAACCCTCGAGCAAGTACACAGCTCCCGGTATACGCCCGCTAGCACGGCCGATCCCCAACTCTTCTCTCCAATTGCATCCCAGTCACCGGTGAGCAATGGCAACCATATGCCTTGAATCCACCGGTTGGACTTGTCGGGGAACAAAAATCCACCCACCAAACCGATGAGGTAGATGCGGGCGTAGCGCTCGACTTGTTCTTCCGGTGTCTCGTCATTGATTTCCACCTCTTGCTGGATGTGAGATACCAGCCACGGGACCGACACTTGCCCCGCATTCAACGGTGGATGCCCCCGTCCTTGATTTGGTGTGGTGGTCGGCATGTCGAAGCCCAAACGATCACGGATGAGCGGCCCCCAACCTCCTCCGGGTTTGGTCGTGGAACCAATGATGGCATCTCCAGATATAGGAAGCCCGGTGAGGATCGCCACTTCTTTGAGGGTGATCGTCATTTCCCCCTCCGGAAGGTGGAATGTATGGGTTTCGGGACGCCATCGTTCCGCCATTGCCGTAAGCAGCTCGTTGTCGATCTCGATCCGCAAGAAATGGCGCAACATTCCCAAACCGGTCCTCGCTATATAGGGCTCCAACCTTGGATGCCAAGCGGGCAAGTTATTGGTCCCTTTATGAACCACGGGAACAAGAGATTCCTAAAAAAAATAGGAAAAACATCAATTAATTAGATTAAATAAAGCAAAATAAAACATTAGAAAATAATAAAATAAAGCAAGTCAGTTCATCAAATTACCGGATTGTTATCCCAAATGGCACGGGAGCGATGCATTTCTTGATCGGTTAAGAGACTCGCATCCCTTGGGCCATAATGGATATACAATCGAGGATCGTATATCTCGGCACCCATCTATAAAAAAGTAATATAATCAGAGATTGTTTTGATAAAAAATAAATCAAATTGTTTCGATTAAAAAAAATCACAAACCAAAAACCTACACGAAGAGCCTCTTCGTCCATTATTGGCGGAAGCCGGACAGAGGTTCGACGGGTTTAGCTTTGTAAGGGACGGGAACTTAGCGGGACGGGGGCTTTAGGGTCAAACTCTAGTAATTCTTTCTGATGTGGAAGATCGGACTTAGCCGCAACCACAGAGCATACTTAGAACGAGACTAGAGCGGATAAATTGAGGGAGAAAGAAGTGAAATGTTTGTGGGGTGAGTTGAAAGTGAAAGGGGAAGGGGGTATTTATAGTTTGGGGGAAGGGGGGAGGAGCTGCTGCGCAGCTATTAGGGCTCCATTCACCGCGTTTGATGAACGCGGTGAACTCACCGCTTTAACCAAACGCGGTGAATGCAAAGGTGACGTGGCGTGCTGTGAGGCGTCGGATCGTGGGAAGAAAACCACGATCCGCGTCTCACCGCATCTAACGGCCACGGTGAAAGCACATTGGCGCGGATTGCTGACGCAAACAAACACGGGTTATTCACCGTGTTTGTCTAACGCGGTGAATACCCCGTGCTGTCCACGTCAGCAACTTCACCGCGGCCGACAAAAACGGTGAAGCCTTCACCGTTTTAGTTTAAAACGGTGAAGGCATCACCGTGTTAAATTAAAACGGTGAGGTATTCACCGTTTTTAACAAAAGCGGTGAACCCTTCACCGTTTTAGTTTAAAACGGTGAAGTACTCACCGTGTTTGTCAAACGCGGTGATGACCTTCACCGTTTTAGACAAAAACGGTGATGCTCAAACATGTGTAATTTTGGAATTTTTTTTATAACTAATGTATTTTGGGAATTTTTTTTAAAAACTAGTGTACTTTGGGATTTTTTCCGTATGAGTGTGTATCAGTATTTGTTAAAAAGGAAAATTACAAGGATCAACCTATATGAAAAAATAACAATAGAGGGTCTCTTTGGCAATATAGTACAAATAGCATGGTACATAGGCCAGAAAGCCATTATCTCCGAAATTAGGTTTTCAACTTTCTATTCGTCTCCTTCCTTCCCGATCTTTCCACTATCAGCCTCTGGTCGCCACCAGGGCCAATTTTCCGCCGTTGTCTCGCCGTCCTGTCCGATCCCCGTCTGCAGACTGTTCGTTACTATCGCCGGCCGGCGTTTCTGAAGAAACTGCGACTTGCGATTTTACTCCGATCCAGACGCCGCCCTCCCCTATCTGCGCTCGCGCATATTTCCTTCTGGATCCTCGCCTTCCCTTTGCCGCGGTCGTTTACCCTTGTTCGTATTCCTTTCGGAAAATTTAAGTCTCGGATAAATTCTTTTTAAGGGATTAGCGGTTGCGTGGAATTGCAGCGGCGGAAAGGAGAAAGACGTTCGACCCCCTACATCGGCATCGGGTAAGTGTGCATCTTGCCCCTTTCTTCTCCACGATAGCTGTTAGCTTTCGCAGATTAAGATTAGTTCTATCTGAATTGGAATTTCCCCTAGCAGTTGATAAGATACCAAGCGTAGTGTATCTTTTTTGTTGAATCTTGGATACTATCCAATTCCTTTGTTTTCCTTTTCGAAAGAACTCCCATGTATGTTTATCTCTAGCTCAGCTGAATTAGAGATGGAGATTGTTCTGTTATTTACCCACCACCAAGCCTTTGTATCCAAAAGACTAGATCTTGGAGATGTTGAGTTCATACTAGCTTAGTTACAAAATTGTTCTTGATTTCCCGACGGGGTGCTGTATAGGTTTATGACAGATCACTGTATCGTGAACGAATTACTTTGCTTTGCGGCTCAGTACGTGGGGGTTGGTTGTGTTAACATAGGCTAAATGTTAGTGACAGTTGTGGTTGTGTTCTGGAGATATGATTCAGGTTGTTGGTTTCTGGTTATGGAAGTAGTTCCTCATGTTTCTGTTTTTATGTAGACTTTGATGTACCCAAGTCCAAACTTGACTTCGTTTCTTTTTCCTTCTAGAGTCTTTGATTCGGACAAATGCCTTGTTGTTTCTTAAGCTCATTCATAAATGTTGGCATGTTGAACATAGGCTCTTGCCTATGGATTGTTCTTTTGCATGGGTTTTCTGTCTGTTTCAGTTGGGTTGCGTTATAATGTTTTAGTGCAAGGCATGCCTCCTACCTTCACCAATGACTTATGTTTGATAGATCGACTTATGGGTCTCTTTGGGGCTGGCTTGTGTTCTCAAATTGCCCAAGTTTCTTAGCTGGTCATTGTGTTCTGTCGGCTGTATCCCATGTTTTGTTAGAACCAATGCTTTCGTGGTCGATTTTGAATTGTCCTTACTCTTCCATTGTTGGATGTTGGTTAAATTATTGGCCATGTCATATTTTAGCGTCAGATTGGATTTCATTGATGCAAGATGACACCTTTCTGTCATATCCTGATCAATCAGTTCTGATATATCTATTGTCAGCACTTTCTATTCTCGAGATAGAATGGATCATTCTGCATGATGGCATTCTCATCCGATGAATAAGTAGTGGCTATCTATTTCACTGTCTATCTCTTGCATTCTTTTCTATCCTTGTTGCCATGCTTAGTTTTGTGTTTGATTTTTTATTATTCCCTAACATTTCTGCATCAAATGGATACTTTTTCTGTAATACCTCTCAGACTCAGTTTGTCAAGCACCTTTTTTCCAAACTTGAAGCAGCACGTTGAAATGACTTGTTTCAGTAACTCCATCCTAGCAAATGTTGTTTGAAGTCCATTCGTTTCTCCTTGCCTGTCGTCACTTTTCTTTGTCTATAAATTATTAGTTTTCTCATGTCCTTCGTTTTACCAACTCCCCACACTCTCAGAATTGTGCAATTTTCATCACTAATATGGTTTGCTTCAGATTGCAGGATTAATCTATCTATTTCAAGATGCCGGCCACAGCTGGACGCGTTCGCATGCCCGCTAACAACAGGGTGCACAGTAGTGCCGCCCTTCAGACTCACGGCATATGGCAGAGCGCCATCGGTTATGACCCTTACGCCCCTAACAAGGATGAGTCGAAACCTTCAGCACAGCAGGCAGCATCGTCCGTATCTACTGCCGAACCTGAGGGTGAAAATGCTTATGCTAGCTTCCAGGGTCTCCTGGCACTTGCACGTATCACCGGTGGCTCAAGTGCAGCCGATGAGGTCCGCGGTTCTTGCAAGAGATGTGGACGTGTTGGACACCTCTCGTATCAATGTCGAAACTTCCTCAGTACAAAAGAAAGTAGTGGCAAGGACAAAGACGGTCTACTTCAAGCTGCTGCGCTCTCGGGACTGGACAAATTAAAGGGCAGTAATGGCAAAGGTAAAGAGGAGGATAGTGACGAAGAAGAAGATGAGAGCGAGACCTCGGACTCTGATGTGAATCCGGAGATCGAGAGGATCATTGCTGAAAGGCAGGGTAAGAAGAGCAGCATGAAGGTGAAGTCTTCTAAGAAGAAGGTGTCGGATTCTGATGAAGATGTTTCGGATTCTGACTCTGAGAAGAGGAGCAAGAGAGGGAGGTCGAAGAAGAGGAGGAGCAAGAAGAGAGCGAGCAGCAGCAGTGACTCGGAGGATGAAGGCAAGGGGAGGAGACGGAGGAAGGAAAAGAGGAGGAAGAGAGACGATGATTCATCCGAAGATGAGGAAGAGCGGCGCCATCGAAAGAGGAAGAGCCGGAAGGAGAAGAGGAGGAGGAGGAGCCACCATCATCATTCCGACGATTCTGATTCGGAGGCTAGCGAGTCTGCTGATGATGCTAGGGTTGGAAGGAGGACAAAGAGGTCTGAGAAGAAGAGTAGGAAACGTCGTCATGAAAGGGAGTAGTGAAAGACTTGTGTCTCTGCATAAATGAAGATTCTTCCTGGGGGTTTTCTGGACTTCGCGGTTGATGATTGTGGTCTGATGTGGTGTGTGTTTATGTGGGTTTGTAAATCGTTTGTGTTGAACCATATTCCTCCCGTCTCTGTAGTCAGAACTGCAGACTGTAATGTGTTCATTGTTGTTATTTTTTGCTTTTTGATTCCCACCTCACTGGGAAAGGACAAATGTTGTTCCCGACTCTGTACCTACAGTAGTTTGTTGATCTTTGCTCTTTTATCATAAACCAGTCCAATACCACCTAGGGCTGAAACTGAGCGCCTGTTAGAATTCTGTCTGACCGTCAGCCAGTTAATAAAACTGACCTACCTCGCCCTGCTCCTTCCCTGTTTTCCTCTCTACTCTGTTTAGGGTAGAGGGTTGGCCCAAATAAACACTTATTTTCTGAATTTTATATTTTGCACCCACATTCAATTTAGTATCTAAACTTTATTTTTTACAAACACTGCCAGAAATTTTGGTGGTAAAAGTACATTTTAATACCTTTATTATATATATCTTATCTTGCATTAGAGTACCTATACTTTTAAGACTTTACAAATAGGTCCAATTTGTTGTGATATAATGAAGAGTTTGATATAACTAGTTGTTGCTATGGGCCACAAGATCAAAAAGCGACCCCAACATGACAAGATAAATAATGATCAAAATCTAAGCTGATCTTGTAGATAAACTAACCCAGTCTAACACTCATGATCAAGGCAGTTAGTGGATTTCTAGAACCAAGCTTACACCCAAGCTACTTCTAGACTAAAACTTCGGTATAGTTGAATAGGTGTGATAAGTGGAAAACTTCCTCATTAATTTCGGAAACCGTGTTCACCGCACAAGAATTATTCTCCTTGCATAAGAGTACTATCCTAACAAGATTAACTCTTTTGTCACCACGAAGAGTTACGATGAGCCGCGATGACAAGAAAGTATAATATATTGATGCTATCACATAGATTGAGATTACGTTATAAATAATGACGTCTCACAACAGTCTTTCTCACGATGTTCTTTCAAGATTTTCTTAATGCATTGCCACCTTGATTAATCACAAAGCAAGTACACAGATAGCTTACTCGGCTGCTACTAGGGATGGCAATTTCGACCTGACCCGTTTTACCCGACCTGTTTGACCTGTTTTGGGGCGGGTCCGACCCGCCCCGTAGGCGGGGCGGGGCGGGCATGGGTAATCTCATCGACCCGACCTGCCCTGACCCGCCCCATTCTCGACCCATTCTTGTCTAAATCACATGTAATCTTAGTCAAATTACTGAGAATTTTCCTTTTATTGCATCATATTTTAGCTATAATAAAGTTGTAAATTAGTAAAAATCTCAATTTCTCCAATAATTTAACTACAATTGTCATAATATTGTTTGTTTTCTTAGTCTTATAATAAAAATAACGAATATTTCTAATGTTTTTCATATAAATTGCATACCCATTGGGTCGACCTGGCCCGACCCGCGACCCGTGATCAATTACCCGACCTGGACCCGACCTGCCACGGGGCGGGTCTGGGTACCAAGAAACCCGCCCCGGACCTGCCCATTGCCATTCCTAGCTGCTACAGTCCTAGCTGCTACAGTCCATACAAAGATCCAACATACACATTATTATTACTCTTTGTGTCCCCTGAGTCTCCATTAATTCTGCGAGAAGACGCATAAACAAAGTAGTAGTAAGACAACAATCCCTTTATTCTTTTCGAAATACGATATTAATCACTTAACGTGATGGCACACATCCATCAGCTTCCTCAATCAGCATTGCGGTACTCTCTCAGTTGACCCTGTAGGCAATTCACGTAAAATATGTCGTAGTAAGAAGTGGAAAACGGTTGCATACAATATGTAATACTTTTAATAGTGTGGTGTTAACGTAATTAAAGTACATTTTAATACCAAGCCTAGTGCATATCTGTTACCTTACCCAAACTAGTTCGGATTTTACCCATACCCATACTCACCTAAGAAACGGGTAGAAAATCCAAACCATGTCCATACCCGTTCGGGTTTCGGTATCCACGGTTATCCATGGGTAATAATTTTTCTTTATAACTCTAACCAATATGTTAATATTTACACGTATTCTCACGTTACGTACGACAAAAAGTACGAAAATAATTCACTAGAATGAAGAAAATTAATTAAAACAACACAATTTCATAAAAAAATTATATTTATATGCTAAATACGAAATATATTAAAGAAAAATATTGATTATTTCTAGACAAAATACATATGCATGTGTATAATCGGGCGGGTTCGGGTTGGATAGTGAGAAAACCATGCCCACCCATTACACCCAATATTCGGGTTTGGATTTTACCCGTACCCACTAAAAATCCTTCGGGTTCGGGTTTTACCCTACCCGATTATGTCGGATTCGGGCGGATATCCACGGGTATCGAGTACTTTACAATATGAAAGCCTAGCTGGGTGTGTTGACCGTTACATGTGGTAATGGGCCGAGCTTCTCTAAATGGCTAAAATCTAAACTCAATTTAATGGCTACACTCGTTAGAAAAAATTTCGGTAGAATACTTATTGGATTAAAAGAAAATTTTGGTACATCCACATATCGTAATGTTATTGATATTTTTCTTATAAATATACCTCCATAAAGACTACCAGCATCCATAGAGTATTCATATTAATAAGAGTTTTACAATGCCATCAAGAATAGTAAGTAACATTCATAAATTATTCATATTATTCCGGTTAGATATAAAATGGTGTCGATTTGTGGCAATAACACTAATCTCGAACCAGCTGGAGGTCTCAAGTTTGAATCTTTTAAGTAGTACCTAATAACAAAAAAGTAACCTAACTATATCACTCTTAACATAAAATGGTGTCAGTTTTTGATTTATGGATGTACGTAGGTATAAGGTGGAAAGCATCCTAACCCGCTCACAACTCTCTAATTTCAAAAGCAGGTAAAATTCACACCTGACTCAAACCCAATCAATAAGGAATTTTACTTATTTTAACCTGATTGAATCGGATCGGATATTCGTGAGTTCGGATTTTATTACCAGTTGTGCTGTGTATTTGTACGAACGGAAGCTGATTGGAGTAGTAGTGCACGTGGCGATTTCAAAGGTACATGTACTGGAAGGACACATCTCACGTTCGCCCACTTTAACTAGGTCATGTATTGTCAAAAAAAAAAAAAAAAACAACAACTAGGTCATGTGATGTGCCGTGATTGAAATCAATGGGGTGGTGTTGGAGATAAATCGATGATAGGGTTTAGCGTAGTCTTTATCGAATTATAGGTTTTATTGGCGACCAACGGCGGATCTAGGACACAGTAGAGTATTGAGTCAAATTTTATTAGAAAATTAGATACCGTAAAAAATAAATCACAATTTTTTTTACAATATCAATTATACACGTCGATCTTTTAAATATTAATATCGTGAATTCATCAATAATAGAGTTTACGTCCATACCAATAGCATACTCTCTTTAAGATAAAATAGTTAAACCAATTGGCGAAAAATTCATCGCTCATTTTGTTGCGCACATAAATTTTCACCTATTTCATTGTTTAAAAGTTTCTCTCCATAGTAGTTGAAACGAGCAATGTCTACACTGGACAAATCAATCGACTAATCCATATATATTGTGTATCAATACCTATTTTCACCAGCTGCTCTAGTAATTTCTTAAGGTAATAAACCTTATATTTCTTTTAGTCTTTTACGTTTTAGAATTTTAGGATTCATAGTTTGTTTTTCTTTAGATGAGAATCATTGGAGCTAGAATTTTCAGGCTAAATTTAGAGTTGTGATTTGAATATGTTCATCTTACCAATTTTTCTAATTACACACAATCTTATTATAAATTAACACTGAGCCAAATGGCTAAAATTGATAAACTCATAAGGACTATACTAGCTCCAAATCCGGGAGAGGGTTAGGCCGTGGCCGAAGTGGCCACCCCTGAGATCCGCCACTGTTGGCGACAAGGTGGGCACTAATTAATTCAAATTCAATCCAGCATATACATTTTACAAAAAAAATTATTGTTTTCTTTTCTGGCAAGAGAACTCTTGTTTTGATATTAATGAATTACACACGATTGTTTTGGGGAAAATTCTTAGTTCAGACATTTACGTCCAACCAGCTATATGCCAGTTTTCTTTTGGTGAGTTCATCTTTTTTTGTATATTTTAATTTCTTATTAATTTAGCATAATCAAGAATATTAAATATTAAGAAAAAAGGAAGGTGAGACCACCAATAATAAACTTAAATGTTGGATGGTTGGAGTTTTTGCGTCCAACCAAGGTTGGAGTTAAGAATTTCCCTTTGTTTTTGGAGTCTTTTTTTTACAAGTGGTGTCACGTGTTGGTTTTGTTGAGCCTTTTTACAATTTTCCTTTCTTCTATATATAGCCATACGGTGTAATCGTTCTGGTAACAACCAACTTGTTGGTTGATCTAACCATCTCGGGGTTCTCATTGTCGCTTCGTAACTAGTTGGTGTCAGGTATATGGAGATGACGCAGGGGCTGGACTATTGGTGTTGAGTTGAACTCCATGTCTTACTGACTTGTTCTGACTCGATGGATTGAAGCCTCTTTGTCGTATCTCTATGATGAAGTATTGATTGCACCCCACAACTACAGTGACTCCATACTTAATTAGCTTCTTTGTTGCTCGTCTTGCTAACAACTTCAACCACACCATTTTTTTTGTCTATGGATCACTACTACCTTGTTGATATGAAATGGCCTCTACCATTTCGATTTGGTATCACCCTCGTCTCGTTACTTAGCGCGCCTCAACGGCTTGCTAGCCTCATCTTGCAAGCCACCTCGATGAATCCCCGTGTTAGCTAACCTTGTTATCCACCTTGATTGGGATGGGAACTTAATCCCCCTTTACCCATGCATCAAAGCAGAATTGAATATTAGTTTATCTTTAAACTCTTTCTATCGTTTATCAATAGTAGACCATAATTAATACTCGTAGTGTTTTCCATAGCGCCAAATTGAATAGTCCTACCTGAACTAATCTTATGTGGATATAATTGTATTCATCCTTTTCCTTTCATTCATCTCTCTTGGTTTTGCGGTGATGAAAAGATATCTAAGACTTTAAATTTGTACTAGAAATCTTAGTAGTGGACTTCAGAATGAAAAACATTATTTACTATAGACTTGAAGTTAAATAATGACTTCTTGTAGATATTATCACTGTTCAATTTAGACCTAAATGATCCGCTGGATAGATCATCGTACACGATTGATTTTTCTTGTATCATAATATTATCCGAATGACTAACTCTTCTGTCATCATATAGAGAGTAGATTACAACGGGTTCATACACAATTATGTCAATACAAAGATACACACAAATTCTTATTACTTCTCGTCTCCTAAGTCTCCATTCTGCGAGAAGAGCCAAATCAAGCCCAACAAAGTACCAGAATAAATTGAACAACACAATCCCTTTATTCTTTCTTTTCCAGATAATACGACGTATTTTTAATTACTTAGACAGTCCACACATCCATCATCAGCTTATTCCTCGATCGTCGTAGCCGTACTCTCACCTGACCCTGCATGTATAATTCACGAAGCAGAACGAAACACGACATTAAAAAAAAAACATCAGAACAAAAACATGCATCACTTCAACCACAATAAAAATGAAAAAAAAAAAACAAACGAATTAACGCACCTGTTGCAATCGACGGTCGGGCTGACGGGTGCGGGCGAAACGACGCCGCACCTGTTGGGAAGTCCGCCGGCGATGCCGAAGTTAACACCGGGGACACCACCGATGAGTAGTGCTTTCAAACATCGACAAGCCGCCTGCCTTTCCGGAGTCGAGCCGGCGGCGGCCTTGAGCGACCTGATCCCGCCGCAGCAGGCAGGGACCAGAGGGCCTCTCCCCGTGATGTAGTTGAAGCACGGCGCCACGTCGGCCGCCACCTGGCTACACGTCACCACGCCGTCGGCAGCCAGATGCCGGCCGCCAGCCGCCACCATTACCACCACGATCAGCGCCACGTAGACCTGCAGCTTGTAATTAGTAGCGGCCATGATATATGATGATAACAGTAGTTGATGGATTTGTGGATTGAAGCTAGCGAATGAAAGTGGATTTTTATAGACGGGGAATTATGTACGTATTGCAATTTGCATGTGAACCGTTAGGTGTACGTTCGGCTGGATTATTAAATGAAATTACTTGTCGCGTGGTAGATGCGCGGCAGATGTGTACGTAGATATATGAATATGAGAGTTTGCTTGCTAATTTGAATTTTGGACAGGGCCGGAGCTACAAGGTTGGAAGTAGGAATGTCAATGGGAAGGTTCGGGGCAGGTTTCTTGGTACCCAGATCCGTTTTATGGCAGGTCGGGTCCAGGTAGGGTAATTTATCACAGGTCGCAGGTTGGGCAGGTCGACCCATTGGGTATGGAATTTATATGAAAAATATTCGTTATTTTTATCATAAGATCAAGAAAACAAATAATATTATGATAATTGTAGTTAATTTCTTGGAGAAATTGAGGTTTTCACTAATTTACAACTTTATTATAGTTAAAATATGATGTAATAAAAGAACAATCCTAAGTAATTTGACTAAAATTACATGTAATTTAGGAAAGAACGGGTCGAGAATGGGGCGGGTCAGGGCAAGTCGGGTCGATAAGAGTACCCATGCCCGCCCCGCCACGCCTACGGGGCGGGTCGGACCCGGCGCAAAACACGCCAAACAGGTCGAGTAAAACGGGTCAGGTCGAATTTGCCATCCCTAGTTGGAAGTATGGGTGGAAGTTTGGGTTGTGGGTTGTGGATAATCCGCAAACCGCACCAACCCGCACCTATTGTGGGTAACCATATCCACAAGTTGTGGGTAGTGGGTTGGGTGTGGGTAGTAAAATAACGATTTTTGTGGTTAGTGGTTATCCACTACCCACCGCGGTTAACCCACAATAACCACACTAATTATATTTATTTAGTGAATTAACTTTATAATATAATAGTATGTGAAAAGTGTGAGGATAAAAATTAAAGTAGCCACCAAATAAAAAAAACACACCTAATCAGTTTTATGTAAGAATTTTTTAGTTTATAAAACACTATAATCGATATAGTGGAGAATAATCAATTCATTAAAAGTGAACACCTTTTGTAACTTTTATCAGTATGTTTTTGCTTTTGTGTGATAAAAATACAAGATCATATTTAATTGTCATATTTCACCCCTAGTCGGGGAAATATGAAATCACAGCTCTCTGACACAAAATTTGAATATCAAACTCAAAAAGAAAAAATCTTCACGTTGAGTAAGATCGATGTACAAAATTGTATCTCCACAAACAACACAAGTGTATATCACTATAGTCTAGTTACGAACAACAAATACGTTAGTGGCGACTAAAACTCTATACTTGCAACGATGGATTTTTGCGGGTAACCACACCCAACCCGCACAAACCCACAGTGGGTAGTGGTTACCCACTCACCACTGCGGTGCGGGTTGTGGGTAGCATAATTGTAAATTTGTGGATGTGGGTACCCGCAGAATGTGGAGCGGATAACCACACCCACCCCAATTTCCACCCCTAGTTGGAAGGGGTGTCATGGCACACCCTTGATTTAGGGGAACACTTGCAAAACTTAGTTGAGTAAATATTACTCATAATGAAATTTGAACCCCAAATCTCAATGTCAATTGTCAAATTTTTACAATTCAATCACAATCAATTATATAAATTAATTCTACCTATGAATTTCTATATTAATATAATATAGTTTATAAAAATGAATAAGAGGGTGCAAATTATTAGAGGAAATCATTGAACTTGATAACGATAATCGGAAGAGAAAATTGGTTATCATCAATACATTTGCTTGTGAAACTTGGTTTAGTTTGCTACTACCTTTTGTCAATATACATGTTGATATTATCAACAACAAAAAAATACATATCGATATAAAGTTTTCTACAATGAAACGATTGACCAGCCTTCGACTTAATTGAAAAATTTGTGAATGATTATTTGGTGCGATAATAGTAAGAGCAAATCTTCATAGTTTGGACCATTATGTAGTTTTAAAATTATTTTGTTATATCTGTTAGGATATGACTTGAATTTTATTTGAGTTTGTTTTGTGTTTTGGGCCCATTTTGTTTGGCTTTGTGTTAAGGCATTGTTTTGACATTTTCCTTGTATGTTTGAGAAAAGGTGTATGGTTTTCTGTTTGGGATTAGGAAAAGAGTTCTATAAATACTCTTCAGCACCCTAATCTGTAGTAAGGTCAGTCAGGTTAGTTTGTTTGGTTTGTTCGTTCCGGATTTTGGTTTGTAACCTGTACTCTTCTCAAATTAGTGAAATTTGTTCTCCCCTACCCGTGGATTAGCTAGCACACATTGTGTTAGTGAATCACGTTAAATTTGTGTTCGTTTGTGTTGATATGGATTATCGATTGCACACTTCCGGTTTCGACAAGTGGTATCACAGCCTGATTCGGCGGATCCGGGGTGGTGGACGTCAGTTTGGTGGACTCTCATTCGGTGACCTCGGGATTTGAGATTTGCATCTGGTTTGGTGGATCCAGGATAGATCCACGTTTGGGCTTGGCGGATCAAAGAGAGTTCACATTTGGGAAGCAGATCAAAGAGAGTTTTGCGTTTGGTAAAGTCCTTGTACCGAGAAGCCCATCGATACTAGGTGTCTGGAGGATCAAGATAATCGCTAAGGAGAGGACACGAAGTTCGTGGTCCTTGGCTTGAGGGGAGGATTATTATGAGGGAAATCCAAATACCACATCGGTAATATAAGGGAATAGACCCTTGTCTATTAGTGTCCACCTAGCCCAATTAGTACGAGGCCTTTTGGGAAGGATACCCAAGAGTAAATCCGTGCGGGCTTAGCCCAAAGCGGACAATATCGTACTAATTGAGCACTCCGGTTTTGATAAGTGGTATCAGAGCCATGTTTCTCCAAATTTGATTTGCGATGGTTAGTGGTCTTTTGCCCCAATTTAGATTTGTGAGGGGGACAAGCAAGGGAGACGCACCGCAAACTTGTGAGTTGTGATTAGCCGACTTCCGTGGGATTTGAAGAAGCTTTGTTCAATTGTGGTACAATTAATTTTTGTCCAGTTGCGCAATAATTTTCTCCGCTTGGTTAATTGTGGCGATTAGTGTGATGGTGGATTTATTGTGATAATCATCACAATTCTGGCGCACTCACCAGGAAGCAAGCAGCTGAAGCTTTTATTGGATTTTGGGTTGGTAGCGGCCATTGTTTGTTTTGTGGTGGAGACTTGGATTTGGGTTTATTTGATATTTTTTGGAGTTCAAGTTTGATTTTGGAAACTTTGTGAACGTTAACTGATGTGCCTAAACTGCTCTAATTGACAATAAAATAGCTAGGGTTGCTGGAAATTGAAAGGAATTGGGAAATTTAGGGTTTTTGGTAGGTTAGATGGAGGAAGAACCGCCACACTAGTCGGTGATAAGGTTCGGGGAAAGGCGCCACAACCAGGGGTTGATAAGCCTAAGAAATCACAAGGAAATATTTCTTGCAACTCTTGAAAACTCTTATTGAAGTCTGAATACTGAATTGAATAAAACTAAACTACAAGCCTTCTATTTATAGAGAGGCTAACCCAATAGAAAAGACTTCCTTCTACACCTAGGAAATTGAAAAGTAACAACTCTACTACTAGGAAACAAATAACACTCATACTTAAGAAATTAAATAAAGCTAATATAATGAAAGACTCTTAAACCAACGTGGACAACAATAAAGCATCTCCTCTAAATCCTTGTTGGACAAGGATAATTGTAAGAAATCCTCAATTCTCCATTAATCCATAGGTCTTGTTGTAGACCCATTTTCACCCATCTTGAATGCTTCTAAACTCTCTTTAAACCTCCTAATTTGTCTATTGACCCATGGTCCATGTAGAGATATAATTTGGAATCGAATTAGGTCATATAGGGTTGGTATAATCCCATCATTCCCTCCCTCTTGGAAAAGATTTGCCCTCAAATCTTCTTGTGACATAGGAATGTGTTCCCACGACTCTATCATTTCCCAACTTGAGTGTACTCCTTGAATATTAAGTTTAACCACAAACTCTTGAAGTCTTCGTCTTTCCCTACGACGAATTTCCTTGTACGACACTTCAACTCCAACAACAAACTCCATGTGTTCACCAATCACATCATAATCACCCATTTGAGTTGAGTAGAAATCGTAGCATAATCGCCCATCTTTAATGACCAAATCTACTCCAATAGTTGATGACTCGTCTTGGACTTCTCCTGGCAAGAATATAGCGCAACCCAACAAGTCATTCTTTTCCTCTTCACTAGAGCAGTTGATGAAATGCACTTCTCTTTTCCCAACTTCTTTTTCGTCAACTCGGAGCACGTTTTCCTTTATCTCTATATCTTCATTGTAATACACAGGCTAGGGTAGAATCCCATCTTCAGTGGTCAACTCAACATGATTTGTAGAATCTTGAATAAGTGGCAATTCTTCTAGAACATCCATTAAACTTACCCTGTCAAAAGCCATTATCATGTTGGTGATAGGCAACAACTTTTCTTCTATCTCAAGTTCTGGTTCTTCTTTTAAAGGCATTAAAGCTTGAGCATCCTCTCCACAAGTAGCTATAACAAGTTCATCAACAAGAACCTTTTCTTCGACTTCTGGTTGAGAAAAAGGCAAAGAAACTTCATTCGAAGGTATATGTTTGTCGACTTTGACACTCCTTTTGTCATTCTCACCAAGAATTGAGCTTGAAGAAGCATCAGTCTAATCAATATCAATGAATCTTGCCTTCTCAATCTCTTGCTCTTCATTCTGAAATTTGAAATATGGATCTTGCTTGTAATAGCTTGGCACAAATCTATCATTCATCAATGTCTTCACTGTTTTCCAATCCTCTATAGGATGCCTTGTTTGAGCTTTAGTTTTCGCCACCATAAGCTAGCATAGCCGGTAAGTTTAGCTGCTACAAAATGAACCTTGACGAATTCGTGATATATTGACACTCAAAAGCATAATCAACTTTGTCCACCCAATCCAAAAATTCTTCAAGATTACTCTTTCCGAAAAATGGAGGGATTTTAATCTTGATATCTCCATGAGTAGCTCTCCTTCGGTCTCGTTCTTCGTCTTCGTTGTTAATTCGAGCACCTCGAACAACCCTCCTAGGTTGACTCTTGCCTCTATCAGGTTGTTGGTCTTGTACCAACTGTTGAACAGTTGTAGTAAGGTGAAGCAGAGATTCTTGAAGAGATTGCAAGGTTGGCTCCACCTTTATTTCTACACTCATCCTTCCTTCTCTTAAGGGGAATGTTACTCTAAAAAAAAGAGGTTTTTTTTAGGTTTTTTTTTTACGAAAATCAACTAAAATCTAACAAAAACCAGAGCTCTGATACCAAACTGATGTGCCTAAACTGCTCTAATTGACAATAAAATAGCTAGGGTTGCTGGAAATTGAAAGGAATTGGGAAATTTAGGGTTTTTGGTAGGTTAGATGGAGGAAGAACCGCCACACCAGTCGGTGATAAGGTTCGGGGCAAGGCGCCACAACTAGGGGTTGATAAGCCTAAGAAATCACAAGGAAATATTTCTTGCAACTCTTGAAAACTCTTATTGAAGTCTGAATACTGAATTGAATAAAACTGAACTACAAGCCTTCTATTTATAGAGAGACTAACCCAATAGAAAAGACTTCCTTCTACACCTAGGAAACTGAAAAGTAATAACTCTACTACTAGGAAACAAATAACACTCATACTTAAGAAATTAAATAAAGCTAATATAATAAAAGACTCTTAAACCAACATGGACAACAATTAAGCATCTCCTCCAAATCCTTGATGGACAAGGATAGTTGTAAGAAATCCTCAATTATCAATTAACCCGTAGGTCTTGTTTGTAGACCCATTTTCACCCATTTTGAATGCTCCTAAGCTCTCTTTAATCCTCCTAATTTGTCTATTGATCCATGGTCCATGTAGAGATATAATTTGGAATCGAATTAGGTCATATAGGGTTGGTATAATCCCATCATTAACAAGCAATTCAATCATGAGTTATTGTTCAAAAAATATTTTCATGTTACACCCTTGAATAAAATTCTGGCTACCCCACTGATTTTAGACGATATCCCATGTGTACGTAACATGACGCGCGCAGTTGCGCACATAATCTCAAACTTCCATCCTTCCACGCAACCATTCATATTATTGGAAAGAAAGCTGATTGGAGTAGTACCGCATCTGCATGCATGTGGCGATTTGAAGGTTCTCTATACTGAAGGAAACATTTCACGTTGGCGAATCAGTAACTGCACCTAGGGTGGAAGTTTGGGTTGTGGGTTGTGGATAATCCGCAAACCGCATCAACTCGCACCTATTGTGAGTAACCATACCCACAAGTTGTGGGTAGTGGGTTGGGTGTGGGTAGTAAAATAATAATTTTTGTGGTTAGTGGTTATCCATTACCCACCGCGGTTAACCCACAAAATCCACAATAACCACACTAATTATATTTATTTAGTGAATTAACTTTATAATATAATAGTATGTGAAAAGTGTGAAGATAAAAATTAAAGTAGCCACCAAATAAAAAAACACACCTAATCAGTTTTATGTAAGAATTTTTTAGTTTATAAAACACTATAATCGATATAGTGGAGAATAATCAATTCATTAAAAGTGAACACCTTTTGTAATTTTTATCAGTAAGTTTTTGCTTTTGTGTGAATAAAATACAAGATCATATTTAATTGTCATATTTCACCCCTAGTCGGGGAAATATGAAATCACAGCTCTCTGACACAAAAGTTGAATACCAAACTCAAAAAGAAAAATCCTTTACGTTGAGTAAGATCGATGTACAAAATTGTATCTCCGCGAACAATACAAGTGTATATCACTATAGTCTAGTTACGAACAACAAATACGTTAGTGGCGACTAGAACTCTATACTTGCAAAGATGGATTTTTGCGGGTAACCACACCCAACCCGCACAAACCCACAGTGGGTAGTGGTTACCCACTCACCACTGCGGTGCGAGTTGTGGATAGCATAATTGTAAATTTGTGGATGTGGGTACCCGCAGAATGTGGGGCGGGTAACCACATCCACCCCAATTTCCAACCCTAACTGCACCGGTAAACTTTCTCGATGGGAACGGTGGCGGAAATTAATTGATGGTTTATGCAAGTTACACAAGAAATTACCTATTATGTATTATGTAAATATTGATGTATGGATGACCAATGACCTACCACATTAGATGCTCACTTGGTAGTTACATGTAAACCCTATTTCTACATTATTATCTCTCATTCATATGCATTGATATAATGATGTAGTGGTTACCAAAGTGTGCCTATAAATATAGCACACCATTGTATCAAAAGTGAAGAATGAATAAGAAGAACTCCTCCCCTCTCTTCTCTTGTGTCTTTTCCTCTCTAATCTTCTCTTGTAGTTGTTTATATTTTCATTAGTTTCATAACACGTTATCAGCACGAAGCTCTGCTAGCATCGTGGTTGGTCATTGTCTCTCTACACAATCTAGTATATTGGAGTGAGATCACAATATGATCAAGGTATGCAAAATCTTTGTCTTCTTTCATATCTTATTGTCTTATTTGTGGTGAGATTATCTCATTCCAATATATTAAGATGGATGCTACTCTTTTCTCGTAGTATACCATCCATTGATATTTTATCTCGTACATCTATTTGAATTAAAATTTTGGGTTGTGTAATTTGATTTATATCATTATGTGTTTTACAATACATACATCGATTCCTTAAAATTAATTTGGTGTTTTGACATTATCGCAAATTAAAATTTGCTCATGTAGTAGCAATAACAAGAAAAGTAATATAAGTGATGAGTTAATTTTTCAATTCTCCGTGTTATTCTGTTCCAAGAGCCCATATACTCCCCAGAAGTGGAAATTGAAGAATCCAAGGGGATAGAAAGAAGTGGACATGGTAACAAGAATATTTGTTCTGTATGTTACCATTGTAATGGAAAAGTGTGCTTGTCTCGTACCCGTTGTACGCAAAAGACTTTATTCTACCAAGAATCAAAGAGAAGAGCAAATTCATATACGCTCCTGCAATATCAATATTATGGAACATATTATTTTGTATTATATGTTGGTATATTCTCCATTAATGATGAAAATGATATTGCACTTGAGATATTTTCATTCCCAGAAGTGAATGAAACAATCTATTCCCCGAAGTGAATGGAGCTATAAACATGATTATATATATGCTAAATGTATTGTTTGGATCATTTCACCAGAAGTGAGTAAAGAGAAGAATAATAAATAATGATGAAATAACAATTGCATTATCAAAGTCATGATAACATAATGTACCTGTTGTACATTGAAATGCATAATGGAACGCATATATAAATTTAAAATCACCTAGTTAGTGATGGTATTGTTCCAAATAAAGCTTATTTAATTTTCACAATTGTAGTATTATGATTCTTATTTCTTTTATGTTTTATTGTGACGTTATTTTTCATGCATAATTTAATTTGATAACCTTTATCTAGAATAATTAACTTGATAAATTCATCATTTTTGTCTTAAGTTTGAAATATTCTCATTTATTATTTTAGTATGTTTTTGTAAAGTATGATTGTTAGAAAAATTCCATATAAACTATATGGTAGAGTACATAAATGAGAAAAAGCTTCTAAAAAGCTTATGTTTGCGGTTACTTGAAGTAACTAAATTATGTACTCGTGATAATAATTTGTGATGATATTCACTATGAATATGTGTTTACTAAGAATGCATCAAATCATAAGTCCCCGGAAGGGTGGAATATGGTACAAAATATGGTAAAGCTTTAAAGGAGCTAATTTTGTGGCCTGAAGGAACCAAACTACCTAGTGATGATGCATTTCCCAATTAAAAGGATATTTGTAAAATGAATATCTTATCAAGAAAATAGTGAAACTAATATTTGCATTTCAAATATGTACTACATGTATATTAGTACAATCCGTACACATAAAAGTGTAAACCAGAAGTTTACAAGATTTGATAACTTGATAATTGGTTGGTCCGGTTAGACCATCCCGGATCTTGATGTGAAAAAAGTTCTTTGAGAATTCATGAGAACATCATATGAGAAATCAAAGAACTCTTCAACTAAAAGAGTTATTATGCCATGTTTGTTCTCAAGGAGAATAGAACAATTGATCAGAGCTTGTATAAGAGTTGGCAAATCTCTTGAGATTTTATATGATCACTTTTATTTTATCTAATCGCAACCCGATGTTTGCGAGATTGATTGCCTCACTATGGATACATGTTTATGATTATCCAATCAAACATCACTTTGCATAAGAGAACAAACTAAGCCTTCTGATCTCTTGTCGAGGACATGCTAGCTGGCAAGTGATAGTATTGGTTCACATCTAACCAACAAGTTATCATAAGTTCCCCCCTTTTACAAATGATTTTGGTAAAAAACCTAACATTTCTCATATGAGAATATCAGGGTGTGCCGCATACATCCCAATTGCTCCACCATAGTATCTTAAGTTGATTCTCGTTGGAAATTGAGAATTTGTGTTGGGTATGAATCCCAAATGGAAAATTTATTTGCGAAATTATTGTTTTGATGAATCACTTTTCCAACATTAAGGGGGAGAGGGAAAAAAAAAAACAGCTAGACAATGAGATGAGTTGGAATGAGTTATCATTATCTAGTTTTGATCCTCAAAGTAAGAAACATGAACCTGAAGTTCATAAGATGAATTATCGTTACCAACTATCAAATGCCTTTACTGGCCATACGAAGTGACCAAGTCACATATACTAGCTGTGAATGCTCCAACTAAATTTGACATCCTTGTTGGATACTCTAATATAAAAAAATGTGTATGAAAGAGAGCGCATGAAGCGTGATAGACCAATCGGTTCCAATGATAAACATCCTCGAGAAAGAAAAGGAGTTGTAATTAGAATGGTCAACTCAAGGACATGAAAACTCAAGAAGACTAACCAAGAATAAAATATAATTTTAGTTCCAGAAGAACACATGTCTCTGAAAGTTATGAAAGCAAAGAGATATCAAAACCATATTAGATTACAATACTATAACCGTAATGAAATCATTGTCGATGAAATTTGTTTGTTGTACTTCAGTACTGGATATGATATGTACAAGTGAGGATCAAGAGAAAAAATCTATTGATACATGCAAATGATGATGTTATTGGCCAATATAGAAAGAAATCATGAAACTTGCTCAAGGAACATAAAGTTTAAGGACCAAAAGTCCTTGCACCTAATAAAGGGCAAAACTAGCGGGATACAAACAAATTTTTGTGCTATTGGAAAGTATGAAATTGTGAGAGATATCGCATAATGTTTTGCAATGGGTTTCTCGAAGAGACCTATCATTGTTTGAAGGGCAATACTCCCCTGTGGTGGATGCAACTACCTTTTCAAATCAATGTTTGAAAATTGTTGTTATAGCCTATCCCTTGTATAGGTTGAGACAATATAGACGAATGTGAAATACTCGTCTAAGTGAACACCTACAACTGTAGGGTGAATGGACCTTAAAAGGATAATTTCAGATAGAGTGCATATGAGTATTTGCATTGTGCATATATAGTTGTGTTGTCTCTATGTGTTTCAAGGATTTTAAATTATTGATTTATGAGTTATGATTTACTTTAAAGTATGAGTTGTGTTTTATGAGTGTGCTTTGTCTAGTTCATATGTTTCTATGATGTGAGTTTTGTTATTATCTTTCGTTATATGAAAGAATTGCTTGCATCAATTTGTGTTAGTTAAGTTTTTTTTACGATCTCATATTATGTTAATGATATGACTATTATTGGATCTCCTGAAGAGCTTCCTAAAGCAGTTGATTGCTTCGAGACATAAGTTAAATTGAAGGATTTAAGATCCTTCTAATGGGCAAGGAAGGTAATGTTGAAAAAGTGGGAAAGTAATTTTGCATGAACGAATTGTGTTCATCCAATAACATTAGGATCCTAAGATCACTAGAAGTGACCAAAGATCCATTTAGAAATCAAGAAAGAAGTGAAACATTATGTCCTGAAGTACCATATGTTGATGCATTAGAGCACCAATGCACCTTGCTAGCCAAGCACCATATAAACTATCATTTTGGTGTTGATAATATTGGCAAGATACAATGTTTTCCTCATTAGAACGTTGGAAAATACTTTGTTACCTCCAGGAACAATATATGTGATTGTACTATTATGGTATTATCAAAGAGAGATTTGGTAAACTATATATCCAAATCCTATATATCATTTGATCCTTATATTGGTTGATCGGAGACGAGCTATCTCTTACATATGGTGATATAAATGTTTCATAAAGAAACAAAACAAACTATAATGGGCATGTCCCGAATGTCTTTCGTTACAGTTTGTGATCCACCATATCTCAAGTACTTGTGGTTGTGAACTATTTTCAAATGAAATGGTCCTGACGATCATGTATGAAGAAAATCTAAAGATCATGCATCAAATTGACAATCTAGAAGATTGTTCACTAACTCACTCCCGACAACAATCTTTCTAAAAGTTGTTCGTGAAATTTGAGTTCATCAACTCAATAATCTGAAGTGATGTGGTCATGAGGGCGAACATATACGCACTGCACTCTTTTTCCCTTAACCATGGTTTTTTCCCAATGGGTTTTCCTGGTAAGGTTTTTAATGAGGCAGTAAGATATAGCGTAATGCAATCTGGTGGTCATCCAAGGGGGAGTATTATGTAAATATTGATATATGGATGACCAATGACCTACCACATTAGATGCTCACTTGGGAGTTACATGTAACCCCTATTTCTACATTATGATCTCTCATTCATATGCATTGATATAAGGATGTAGTGGTTACCAAAGTGTGCCTATAAATATAGCACACCATTGTATCAAAAGTGAAGAATGAATAAGAAGAACTCTTCCCCTCTCTTCTCTTGTGTCTTTTCCTCTCTAATCTTCTCTTGTAGTTGTTTATATTTTCATTAGTTTCATAACATAATGTAATATTTGATATAATAGTTAGAAATTTTTGGATTCAAAATATAAAAAACACATACTTTTAATGGGAAACTGCTATTAGAGAACTAATAGTGTTTCCCCCAAACATTATGTGTGGGTAGGCTGCAAATGAATCAAACTGATCACGAACGGCTCGGAGTTCGATTGAGAAAAGCTTGTTCGAGTCTAAGGTAAGCCTTGTTTGGCTCGCAAGGCTCATGAGCTATAGTTCATTTCGAGCTATTAGGTCGCTTGACGATATGGTTAGCGAGCCACCTTAACTAGTAATTAATGAGTGAGTCAATTAATAATTTATCATTTGCTTGTTGATAATTCATAAGTTATGAACTAAATGATATGATACCGGAGCTTGAATTGATTTCACGAGCTAATTGATGAGCTGAGCTAGAATAGAGCTCGTGATCTCATTGATGAGCCAAACTCGAGTCAAACAAAAGCCAAAATTTTAGTAAACAAACTCAGTTTGACTCGACTCGACTCGTTAACGGATCAAATCCAAATTAGTTCAAAATCCAACTTGACTCATTTACAACACTATGGGTCGCCCATCCCTTATAAGACTTGGGCTTTATGATCAATAAGATGGGCCACTAGTGTCCTATCATTAAACTCAAATGGGCGAAAGTAGAGTTGGTACGAGAGGCCTACAAAAGGCCTAGCGGCACGTTTACTTTGAAACATTCGTCCTCTTAAAATTCGTTGTTGAACTAGTGTTTGTGAAACCAGGTCCGACCGAAAAAATTTCCAATCGTAAGTTACATTGATAGGTGTTTATTTAGTTGTATGTAACGTTTGAATCATTATTAAATTATAATTTTGACATAACAATATTCTACTACTAATTTTTTTTGGTACAATCCTTCAATGGTGGACCTAATAAGTCAAGAATGTTTAGAATGTCCATTGTCCAGGAACACCCCTAAAATTTGGGGGAAATTAATGTACCTTCAATATAGCAGTTTGAGTATAGGAAAAAGAAGAAGAAAAAAAAAAGATGGTAGTCTCTAAGATTGGAGTGTGAGATTATAATTAGGGTGAATACAATTTAATATCCAAACCTTTCATTTTAAACAATATAATAGCCAAACCTTTTCGAAAACAATCTAATATCCAAATCGTCAACTTTCCGTTCGTTTGACCGTTAGTTGACACTTCAAAAAAGTTTTGTTTAGGGGAAATTGTCACAATACAACTTTGTTTCTTGTTTTGGCATTGCAGATGACTGAATATTTAGATATTCTATACCATCATGGTGGAGTCATGGACTTCACGGGTTTGGAACTACGATATGCTGGTGGTTTTTCAGAGAAGATATCGATGAATATTGATGAAGTGTCGTACTTCGAACTTTTTTGAAGTGTCAACTAACGTTCAAACAGACAGAAAGTTGACGATTTGGATATTAGATTGTTTTCGAAAAGGTTTGGCTATTATATTGTTTAAAATAAAAGATTTGGATATTAAATTGTATTTACCCTAATTAGTGAACATATTTTTCATTATACTATAATTTATTTTAAGATAAATGTAATTATAAATAGCTACGGGTTATCCTTTATCCCCAAATTTCCCTTATTATGAGATATTGGATGATTGAATATTTGTGGATAAATTGTCGAGTCTGCTAGTGAATGGGAACCATACGTTAAGGGTCCTGAAAGATTCATTATTGTGTCGGCTAGCTACACATTGTAGTGAGCGTGACAGCTTATAAGAATGACCGCCGTATAAGCTCAATTTTGGAAATTCTTCCAATTTATTGAGTTATTAACATCAACTCAATTTGACATGTTTATATAATCTAAGATTTTCATAGAATCGCACTAATTATTTATATATACTCGCCTGGATTATTGACATATAAATTTCTCTTTCATGAAAAATCTCATTTTCTTTTCAACAATGAACGATTACTTCCATATAGTTTCTCGAATTTCATCAACTAATCACACAGTCTCATCAATCAATCATTCATGAAATTTAATATGTCACAGAGTATGATAAAAAAATGCCACAGAACTGCTATTTGAATTAAAATAATCAAGAAATTATTTTTGATTCCATCAACCATGAAATTAAGAGTGGTCGATGACATTGTCGTATCGGATTATGTGAATGATCAGTGACTAAAAATTTCATCAACCATGAGTGAATTTATGAATATTTGTGTGAAAAATGAGTTTGTCCTAGTTGTCTTTTCCCTATATAATGGTTTGTTGTGGACTTGTGGCCCTTGTCACATGCGAGCAAGTATCAAAACTGATCATTATCAAACTCTCAATCCATGAGCTCTTTCGAGCTCGCTGTGAAATGTTGTAACTGGTATTCTTCAACCTCGTTGTCGATTTCTTAATGTTATATTCATTTCGGTCGTTTATTAATTAACTCAATCCGTCTCGATTCTAATTCGAGCTCTCCATAATTAACCCAACAAAACGCATAGATAATAATATAGTATTACCCAGATCAAACATATATAACATGGACCGATGCCTGGTAGCACTACACAGTACGTAGTACTTTTACACAAACAACAACATTCCCTTTTATTCTTCTCGCGACACAAAACGTAAATTAACGAAACCACTCGGACCACGAACGCATCAATCGGCCTCCTCGAGCAGCATTACCTGACCCTGTTAACACAAATCAAGCACGCAATTAGTAAAAAAACAGAAGAAGATTGGGATTGTCACAACACAATTACATTAAACTAATCAATACTTAGAAGTCTTCGATTCATGAATGGTGTGTTTTAGCGTACAAACCAGTTTAAACCCCCATGCAGTAACTCGAGTTATCGAAAAATGGTTTATGTGAAGCTGTTTTTATCTCTCTTACACACCCGCTAAAACGAAAACCGGACCTCTTTTTGGGGTTTCTACCATTTGCACAGGTTGATAGTATCATCTCTTGTGGGGGGTGGGGGGCTAAACTAAATCATTAATTAGTTTTACAGTGTGCACACATGTTTGATCATACCATATTATCATCCTATCTTGTGGGGGTCGTCATGATCGCAGTTCGAAACCACCATGACCTTTCGATTTAAACTTTGATACATACCATATCAGCAGCAGACAAACCACTCGGTTCCAACAACTCGAGAAACGTTGGGAAATGGATCTCTTGAAACGAGAACAAACCCAAAAAAAAAAAAAATTTGGACTACTCACTTGGTGCAGTCGGTGGATGTGCTGATAGGGTAAGGGATGCTGACGCCGCACTTGCCGGGAAGTCCGGCGGCGAGGGCCGGTTTGAGGCCTTGGATACGACCGGAGAGGGACTTCAAGCAGTTGCAAGCCGCCTGCCGGTCCGGCGTGGAGCTGGCGACCGAGTTGAGGCCCTTGACCCCGTTGCAGCAGCCGTCCGTTAGCGGGCCCATGCCCCTGACGTAATTCACGCACGGGCCGATGCTGGACGCCACCTGGCCGCAGGTCACAGCTGCTTGGCCCAGCTGCGCGCTCGCCGCCACCATCGCCACCGCCATCAGCGCCACGAGAACCTGCAACTTGGTAACAGCCATGATATGATATATAGGAGTGTGTGGAGTGATGAGAGCGTAACGAGGTGGGGTTTTTATAGAGCGGGGAAATTCGGGTTTGATGTAAATTAAATGAGACCGGTGGCTAGCTAGCTGGTGGTGGGTGTAAATATTGAATGAATTCTGTCGGCAAGCCGGCTTGGTGGAAGTACCTCAGCCTCTAAGTTAAGACTTCAGAAATAATAATAATAATAATAATAATAATAATAATAATAATATTTTGTATCGAATCCATAATACTCGAAGAAGCTGGCGTCGAGAATGGGTTGATTCGAATGAGTAGAGTTTTAGTTGTGGAAGAGTTTCGGTTATGAATTGTATATAATTATTCAATGATGACACGCGTTCCCTCAAAACGAATGGTCACGATCATGAGCCTGGAGTTTGCGCATATATATACTGGTACGGAACACGGTCATGTGCTTAAGGGAACTGATGGGGTCATTGAGATTCGAAGGAGATCGAAGGCCTCTCGCGAGTTATAGATCCATGTCAAGGAACCAGTTCGCGCGGTCTCAAATAACTTGAGTTATTGGTGTTCCATTATGCATATACGTACTATCCCCCCCCCCCCCCCCAAATCCCCCAAGTGAAGGCCTTCTCGTATGGGTTTGAAATTTTGCACGGGTCCTCGTACCGTGTGCTTCACAGAATATAGACGGAGGTCATCGCGAGATCACAACTAAAGACATTTCGGTCACAGAATTAAGGCTCTGACCGCGCGGAACTGTAACCGAAATGTCTGACACTGTTGTAGAGAAATTTCTAGCACGCGCATTAACTTCTTTCGGCATATTATAAAATCGTTTTATATATTTATATATTTTTACGTCAGATTCGCCTTGAATGAAATGATGGGCTATATGCCACTGTCCACCTCGACAATACAATATAGGGTATGCTACTAAGGCACGTAATAATATAGAGTGAGTAGGTTCTGCTGCAGGCTTGTTGTTGTGATACTGAATGGTGGGATGGCTGGCGCATTTGATTGGAGGAGGAGGAGTAAGTATGGGGATTTTGAAGCTTATCTGCACCGAAAAGGAAACATCTCCACGTTGGGCCAATTGGACCAATTATCAGATTTGACTGCGCAGTTTGTTTGTTTGTTTGCAAGTGTCACGGACTCACGGTGTGGTTGACGTTAGGGGTGGTTATACGGTCCGGTCCGGTTAAATTGGACCAAATTGATCTGGTTCCAGTCCGGTCTTTTCGAGAATATAAGGACCAAAGATTGGATTGGATACAGTCCGGTCTTGACCCGGTCCGGTCCCAATTTTATCTTGATTTTAGGTGTTGGGGGTCTCTTATCCGGTCTTTATCCGGTTTTTTACCTTAAATTTAAGCCCGAATATGAGATTGCATTGTTTGCTATCCGGTCCCAGTCCGGGTTATACGGTCCGGTTTCGGGTAAAACCAAACAGTCCGGGACCAAATAGCCAGCCCCAGTTGACGTTACGGAGGGTTGGAAAACAACATGGCAAAAATTACTATTTTTGTGTTGGTAATGCATCCAACTCAAAATGGTTATTATTGGGGGGTGGGGGGGGGGGGGGGGAATTATGGTTAGTAGTGTTTAACTCAGTTTAAGTAGATGACAACTTCGATCTCATTCATTTTATTTGATTTGTTTAATCCATTTTGGGATGGGTAATATCCGCATTTTAGCTAAATTTAATTCGTTCTGGCCATTCTTGTTCTCGACTAGATAAAATACATGTGATTTTACTCAAATTACTTAAGATTTTATGTTTACTGCCTCATATTTTAGGTATAATAAAGTTGTAGATAAGTGATACCCTAATTTTTGAATAATTTAACTATATTTATCATATTATAGTTGTTTTGTAATTTTTATAATAAATAAATCAATGTTTCTAATGCTTATAGTATATTAAATTGATTTTATAGTATAACTATATTAGGGTCCGACCTGTTGGTCGGTAGAATTTGATGCTCATGTATGATTTAGAGTTCAAAAACTATTTCAGGCGTTCAATTAATCTGTGTATATGTGCTTAGCAGTGACCAAACGTTGCACCCACCTATATGCAATAATTTAGGCAGTGAGAAATTCGATAGGCAGTAATTAAAGAGCTGTTGTGTTAATTTCTTCTTTTTATTTAATTAGTATTTGCCCTTTGTTTTCTTATTTTATTAGTATGTCGTTTTCCAGCGCGTTGAAAAGCAAAGACAAATGAATGAATGTCTCTTAAATACCTTGAAGTTAATTAATATGTGAGATTAGCAACCGAACATTACAATGAGACGTTATAAAATTTTGAAATGAGGTTTTTTTTTCCTCCTTCTTCTTCTTCTTCTGCATTTATAGTTTTTTCTTGATTATTGTCTTACTGTTACGTATTGTCCAATTAAAATCGACTTATGTACAAAAAAAATTGTTATCGTACTCATAATTAGATATTGAATTATGGATTATTCTCGTTCGAGCACATTGCGCTTTCTTAACACCAAGACATATTCATTTGAATCATTATTAATTAGCATAATCATCTTGATTCTAGTTGGAGCATTCCTTAACACAACATAACGCAGAAAATAATACAGAATATTAAACATTACACACGGACTGATGCCGTGTAGCACTACACAGTACGTAGTCCTACACAAACAAACAAACAAACAACATTCCCTTTTATTCTTCTGCGCAATCCAACTTTAATAAACTACTTAATTAGCTTGGACCACGCGTCAATCCTGCTTCCTCGATCCGAATAATTACCTGACCCTGCAATAAAAATTAAGCACGTAATTAGTCAAAAAACAGTAAACATTAATTATCCATCACAACCATAAATACAATAACACTAGTCAATAAAACAAAACAAAAAAAAAAAAAAAACTTCGACCCAAACCTGTTGCAGTCGACGGAGTTGCTGATGGGGAAGCCGACGTTGACGCCGCACTTCCCCGGGAGGCCGGCTGCGTTGCCCATGTTGACGCCCCTGACGCTGCCGGCGAGGTTCTTCAGGCAGCGGCAGGCCTGCTGCCGGTCCGGGGTGGATCTGGCGGCGCCGTTGAGGTTCCTGATCCCGCTGCAGCAGCCGGGCGTCACGCCGCCCCTGCCCGTGAGGTAACCGAGGCACGGTGCCAGGCTGGACGTGACCTGGCCGCAAGTCACGGCTCCTTCGGCCAGCTGCGCGCTCGCCACCATCGCCACCGCCATTAGGGCAACGAGAACCTGAATCTTGGTAGCGGCCATGATAGGAAAGAGAGATTCTAGAGTATTTTTTTTTCTTCTTCTTCTTCTTTGCTTTGAGTGGTGAGTTAGATAATGGAGTGTGTGGACTGAAAGTGTAAACGGGGTGGGGATTTTTTTATAGCGGGCGGGGGGAAATTAAATTACATGCATGTAAACGAGACTGGTGGTGGGTAGTAAACGGTTGATGGTTGGGAGGGTGATATTGAATGAATTTGTGTCGGCAGTACACTGTACACCGCGGCAGAAACAGGATTTAAAATTACTTGCATGGCAATTTCGACCTGACCCGTTTTACCCGACCTGTTTGACCTGATTTGGGGTGGATCAGATCCGCCTCGTAGGCGGGGCGGGGCGGGCATGGGTAGTCTCATCGACCCGACCTCCCCTGACCCGCCCCATTCTCGGCCCGTTCTTGTCTAAATTACATGTAATCTTAGTCAAATTACTTAGAATTTTCCTTTTATTGCATCATATTTTAGCTATAATAAAGTTGTAAATTAGTAAAAACCTCAATTTCTCCAATAATTTAACTACAATTGTCATAATATTGTTTGTTTTCTTAGTCTTATAATAAAAATAACGAATATTTCTAATATTTTTCATATAAATTACATACCAATTGGGTCGACCTGTCCCGACCTGGACCCGACTTGCCACAGGGCGGGTCTGGGTACCAAGAAACCCACCCCGGACCTGCCCCATTGCCATTCCTAGCGTACTCTTTTTGGGATTATAAATAAACTAAAATTATTTATTAAATATAATTAACGAATAATAGTATCCAAATAATTTATTCATATATTAAAAAAAACCCCGAATAGTACAATCGAAACTACAAAATATATTTGGTGTCACGAATGTTAGAATCAAAACTACATTCAGAAGCAAATAATAAACCGACGAATATGACTGGTATATGCATTTTTGTCTCCACCATTATTGGAGACGATTCATCAATTGCTTTTCAATAAAGAATATCTCTCATCGGCAATATGAAAATAGATCGGATCAACAATTTATTCCAATTGTGAATTTGGTTTGCAATGTAATAAACTAATTTTTATTTTGTCAATATGATGACAAAAAAAAAAAATCACAGTCTTCGAAAATTTCAACATAAATGGTTCAATTCTTTGTATAAGCTATATGAGAGATTGAGAGTATATAAGTTTTTTTTTCCCCCAAAACAATACTGTTTTCCTGTGAGACTGTGACAATGCCAAAACAAAACAGTCTCCCTCCACCTACGACTATATACAGTATGGTTGCTAGGACACGTAATTTAGGTATGCGGGCTGGTTGTGATAATTAATGGAGGGGACGACCCCAAGGCATTTGATTGGAGGAGGAGTAAGTATGGCGATTTTAAGTTTATCTGCACTGAAAAGGAAACATCTCCACGTTCGCCCACTTGCACCAGTTATAAGATTTTGACGTTGTCAGTTCTTCATTTAGTGGCGAAGCAACCCCTCTCATTTCGACTATTTGTCGATCGTAGAGTTTCGTTACGTGTTTTAACCTATCTTATGTTATTGTTACGCTACTTATATAAGAAGAAAAAAAATTTAGAGGTGACATTAGATTGGATTCATGAATTGCTTGATTAATGAACTGATGAAACTATGAATCAAACAGATTCATGAATTCATGGATTTGACTAAATGTATTGGTGGATTAGATCATATATTCAGATGGCATCTAAACATTAGACCAATAAGAAAAATATGAAAGTTCATGTGCTACAGTGTCATAATACAAAAATGGCAGGATCCATGTCCATATAAGACCAAAAATGGCAGCCAATTTAGTCGATCGATTAGCCAGTTTCGCTTCGAGTCGAATAAATTCTAAAAACGTAGATAAGAAGAGTTCTTATCAAGACCACTCCTACAGAGAGCATCCAACACCTCCTTACCACGAATAAAGGTATCGTCTCTCCATACACACACAAAATGAAAGGACCCTTTTTCTATTGGAAAGGAAGATAGAGAAGAACTCCTTACCTCACAAGAAAAGGGAATCCTCTCTAAACAATGTCATGACTCCTCCAAATCCTCAAGGTAAGAAAAAAAATTTACCATAAAGGGAGGAAAACCATTATGGAGTAGGACGAGAGCCACAACTCTGCCTCAGAAGGATCTTACGATCCTAACATAATTTTTCATAATTTGGCAGCAGGAGTACCATTTTTCTGCCTCCTTAAGACACTTTAGTTTCACATTCCAAATTGTCATGAATGAGTTTATCGCAGCATTGGGAGGAAGAGAAGTTGTGATACTTGTTCTTAAGGCTATCGTTCAAGGTTGTCAACCCGCAAGTTGATCCGGACCCGGTCGAGCTAGTGGGTCAAGGGTTAACGGGTCACCCATTTCGGCTCGTTTTAGCCCGGAAATATTGAAAGAGTCATTATATTGTAATAACCCTGATAAATTATATAAAATCTCATCTAACATATGAGTATTAACATATAACATTACACCAAAGTAACATGTTGTACTTAGATCCAACATATAGTGAAAATTCACACACACTTATATAACATCAATATTCAAATGTTCAACTAAGGATTCCAAAGATTGAGTTAGGTGAAGAAAAATTGAAAAATAGGCGCATTTCGCAAACCAAAGAAAAAAATGAAACAATTTGACCTCCAATCCGATACCTTGTAGCGGTCGACTCAGCGAGTGCGTACGACCCGTTTTCTCACTGGGTCAGGGTTAAAGTGGGTCGACCCGCGGGTCAACTCGCAGGCAAGGTTCGATCGTTAAGATGACTGATCCAACGGAAGGCACACGAAAGCTTCTCAAACAAGAGTACGAGCACTCTACAAAGCTACAATGGTGAACATACCTCCCCATATGCGAACTTACAGTACTACAGAAGTCTCCTAAATGAACTTCATATAACGGATGCACTCATAGACATTGGGGCTAGCCTTGATGCGATGCCACATTACATTTGTGAAGAACTAGGTATCAATAGTCTAAAGAAGGAGATCACTGAAATAAAGATGGCAGACAACACAGTTTTTCGTTCTTAAATGGGGATGGTGTTAGAGTGTGCTATAAGATCCAACATAACTTTTTCTCTAACAACTCGGGTTATTGGGACTAACTGGTTTATGACATGGTATTAGAGTTGGTTTGACCAAGTGGTCGTGTGTTCGAATCTACATGACCCTCGTTTATTAACAGTTGATTAAAAGCACAAGGTATGGAGGGCTTTTGCAACCTTCAAGCCCGTGAGCTGGCTTTCGTTTGAAGGGCGTGTTAGAGTGTGTTATAAGATCCAACGTAACATTTTTCCAACAATTCGAGTTATTTAGACAAACTGGTTAATGACATATGGCAATGGGTCAACATGGGTGGAGTTTCACTAAACTAAAACCCAACCAAGTGGGTTTACCCTTCGTGTTCCCTCTCGACATGGATAGAGACAAAAACTACTCTATCCTATTCGGAAAGCATTTCTTAGTCACACCTGGTGCATTAATCGATTTTCTAGCACGCAGAATCATGATGATAATTGATAATTCGGAGCATGTCATAGACATAACCAAAACGCATGCTCATAAGGACCTTTTTCCAATCAATCGAGTCCGCCCATTAGTAGGATCCAATTGTTACTACTGGGGAAAAAAAAAAAAAAAACAATACGTTAAGGGATAGGTTGATATATATATATCCAATAAGGTTGTTGTTCGACCCGTTGGTCGGAATGTTATTTGAATACAATGTATTTATGATGTGTATTTAAATTCTTTAAATTATTTGAAATGCTAAATTTCGTATGACATGAACATGACATCGAAGTTATTTTTCCTTTTTCGAAATTCTTATAACTTTTTATTAATGATGAACATTGTAATCTTAATGGTTATAATCAAAGTTGTCAAACCGGTTTAAGTCGTTGAGCCGGTCAAGCAAGTTGTTTGAAGTTTAATGGTTTAATTGAAGTCCAACCTGTTTGAGCCGCTTTACACCTTTTCTAAATATATTTACATATAATATGGAAATTTAGTGACTTAAATAAAATGTACCAACTTATATCTATTAAAAACTCAAATTCCATAAAAAATACTTATCTCAAAATCCACCCACCAGTACCACCTTCCCTCTCTCCCCCTCCCCCTTCTCTCTATCTTCTTCTCCCTCTCTAATGATTAGACCCTTGTTTTGTACAGCCCGTTTTGGAGCACTATTTTGGTCAGACCTAGTCCAAGCAGCTGGCCGGTAGAGGTGTAACAACCTTGGTTGTAATACTCGTGAATAACCATTCATAAATTGTCTACTTAATGATGTAGTCATTTAGTTGCCTATAGTTGAAAAGAAAATTGGCATAACAAAAAAAGAGTTTGTCTGAAAAAAGCGTAGCATAAATAGAAAACTCATGATCATAACTTTTACTCAATATTTATTTCTTATGTTTGAGAAACAATACATATATAACAATATCTAAACCTTAAAGTATTATGCACAATACAATAACAAAATTAGTTAGAACAATCTTATTCACTAAAAAAAAAAAAAAATTAAACCTATCTTGGGGTACCTACCTTGCTAATGCACATGACCATATCAATGCGTCCATAAAAACTCCAGCTCGACTTTCATGATTTGTCTTGTACTGCGATTATTTCATATTAAACTAAGTAATTATGAATGATACATATGGTCAATCACCCTATAAAATAAAAAAATAATTGAAATCATCTAGAATTATTGGTATTGAGAAATTGTGTTCTTTTAAACACACTTATTTGTCCAATCATGACATATTATCAAGAGATTTAGAATTTAACGATTAATCAAACTAAAATTTTCAAAAAACTGGTCACTTACAAATTGCATAACAATATCTTTAATTTAAGAGTTCTACAAATCAATACCAAGTTAAGAATTCTACATCACATTTGCACATTCAATATGCAATATTAGAATCAATGATATTTGGGTTGAAATTTTAAAATTATCCTCTTATAGATATAAATTAAATTTATTATTCAACTCAAATTCAAATAAATATGAAAATTCAAATATAAAGTAACAAAAAAAAAAAAACTTACGGGAGAGTTAGTGGGCTAGCTAACAGTAGTGAAAAATGTCATAAGATTTTTAGAGTTTAGGTTTCCATATTTTGCATTTGAAAAGATTTAAAATATATTTTTTAGTGTAATTGGTGACGGTTGTTGTCATTGTTTGGAAAGATTATGGTTCAAATCCCGATATTGATGTATTTTTATTCTTATGAATAAAAAACAATTAATGATTGTATAGATACAATTACCTTTCCTATTTTTACTCTTATTGCAGAAAATTTGAAATACTGAAAAACTGCCTCCAACTCTACTATTAATATATATATAAAGGTGGAGTTACGTTACTGTTACCTAACAATTTACCATTTGATACCCCAAATTTAATTATATCACAACTTAGTAACTAAAATGTAAATTTTACGTTTTAATACCACAACTTTAATATAAAATTATTGAAAAATTATGTTTTGGTATGTAAATTTTATGAGATTTTCGTACCAACAATTTAAGAATCAATTAATCCAATCCACCAATCCTTTCGAACCAATCCATGAATCCAATCCACCATAATATTAATATATATAAAGCTGGAGTTAGATTACTGTTGCCTAACAATTTACCATTTGATACAACAAATTTAATTAAATCACAATTTAGTCACTATAATGTAAATTTTACGTTTTGATACCCTAAATTAAATTTAAATATAAATTTATTGAAAAATTATGTTTTGGTATCTAAATTTTGAAATTTTCGTACCTACAATTTTTTAAATTTACATATTGGCCCAATATTTAGATTTCACTTGAATCCATGAATCCAATCCATTAATCCTTTCGAACCAATCCATGAATCCAATCCACCATAACATAAAAGTATAGATTTAGTTTGTACAATACAAGATGTTGTATCACTCAACCGTTGAAGAAGTTTCAACCATTTTATATTTGCACATTACGTGAAATATTAAATAAATGATAAAAGAAATGCGACTCTAAAATATTGCAAAATCAAATTTATAAACTCATTTAGTAGCTGCTGTTAGGTTACTATTGCCTAAAAATTTACCATTTGATAACCCAAATTTTATTAAATCACAGCTTAGTCACTGTAATGTAAATTTTACATTTTGATACCCCAAATTTAATTTAAATATAAAATTATTGAACAATTATGTTTTGGTATCTAAATTTTATGAGATTTTAGTACCTATAATTTTTAAAATTTACATATTTTCCAATAGTTAGATTTCACTTGAATCAATGAATCCAAATAAAATCCACTAATCCTTTCGAATCAATCCATGAATCTAATCCACCATAACATAAAAGTATAAATTTAGATTGTACAATACAAGATGTTGTATCACTCAATTGTAGGAGAAGATTCAACCATTTTATATTTGCTCATTCCGTGAAACATTAAATAAATGATAAAAGAGATACAACTCTAAAATATCGGAAGAGCGAATTTCTAAACTCATTTAGTACATTTCCGGGGTACTAAACAAACTTCTAATACGTACATGTAACAAAATTCAAAATATGCGGCATCTAAATAGGTAAGTGTTGATAAATTGCTACGGTGAAAAGGGTTGACTGTTGTATTGACGGCCAACTAAAAGAATTGGTCAAAACCTTTCCATCATCTACTTCCTTTTCGTTCATTTTTCATTCGTCTTTCATAACCCTTTCTTTATTTTTTTATTTGCATTCTTCGTCTAACCCTAATTAGTATACTCTTTTTATATATTCTAATCACAAGTATGAACGTGTCCATACAAGACTCACCAACAATCTAGAGAACTAATAATTAAACTATGAACCACTAACTTTTTCAGCTCAATGTCGAGCCCAATTAAAAGTAAATATATATGGTTATTACTTATTAGAAAGTCGTCATTTTTCACTATAGGATTTGATATGTGTAGATATCTAGCTAAAAATTCCATGTATATTTGTTGAAAATTCTAGCCTGGGTGAAAAAGAAAAACTCTAGAGAGAAGCAAAAGGAATACAAACTTTCATCTACGAACTTCCAAACCCATATATACGTCACCCGTACCCTGCCCATAATCAATGTGTCTACTTGGGTTTAGGTAAACATCATTTACTAGCCAAAATTAAAAAAAAAATTGGCTAGTAAATGTTGACCGCCATATATCTCTTCTCAGTCCATATCATATTGTCAAATCAATCTTACTAACAAAACTGCTAACGAAAAATTAATTTTAGACTAATAATACTAACAATACACCATAACGGGCCACATAATATATGCCTATAGGCAATCTCCATCCGCGACAATGCGCGACATCGCCGCCTAATTATATATTTATAGATGAATTATTATCCCGGCTAGTTACACATTCTATTCATAGGCACGGCACAGGAAATAACCGGTACAAGATCAATTTTGAATATACTTGCCGCTTATATATTGAGTTATCAACATCGATTCATTTTTGGCATGTTGTTTAAAATAATGACTGAAAAATGTCACGTTTTCAGGCCCTTCTAATATCTATATGAAGTTGTAATTGAAACACGTGATATAATCAGTTTATTTCAGACAATCACATATGGCGGACCCAGAATTATCGAAGGTGTATCGCCAATGAAATAAGATAGTAATTAAAAAAATAAATTAAAAATTAATAAAAATTAATTCATAAAGTTCATAATTTCATGTTTATAAAAAACCACAACGACTTTTAATGTCCTGAATAACTGTAAAATAAAATCATCGTTTATATTGCGAAGCAAATCCTTTTCTATATACACAACTAAACAATCATTTATAAATTGGTCACTCAACCGATTTCGAAGTTCATTATTGATTATCTTCATAGCTTAAAATGCTCTTTCGCACCTTGCAATTGCAACAAGTAAAGTCAACACCAACTTCAAGAGCAAGTAAACTAAAGGATAAAAGAAAAGGGGGATGTGGCAGTGTGTCTCGGTAATTAGAAACTAAAAGGAGATAAATATGAGTTCTTTATTTATTTTGTTATTTTCAATAAAATAAGGGTCAAGGGGTGGAAATGGAAAGTTTCAAAGGATGGTGTTATGTATATTTTTTTCATTGTTTGGTTGTGGTGTGGGTTACTTTAAAACAAACATATTTATTTGATTTTACTTATTATTGTTTATTACTAATTAAGATAAATAACTTTATAATAAGAAAATCATTCTCGTATAATGAAAGTGTGTTGCTCACAATTATTTAAGGTGTGTCAGAAGCTCCGAATTAAAAAAAATTGTACAAAAAATATATAAGTTATTCACAAAATTTCCTGACGAGTGTGTGTCGGACGACACACCCTGGTCCTTTTTAGGTCCGCCCCTGATCACATAAACTATTTATGCATATTCACCTTCATTCATTATCCACACATAAATTATTATTTATGCATGCTGTTCGAATTAAAATAATCCAAAAATACAGTAGACCCAAATCAAACATTATCTAGACTTATGCAATCAGTTATAATCTCCAGTCTATAACTATCTGATTCAGGGGGGAAAATTACATGGACTTATGCCTTGTAACAGCATAATACAACTACGTAGTACAACTACACAAACTGCAAGAATCCCTTTAATACATTCTCGCG